TTGCCCAAAGATGCGGTACGGCCTCTGCTTGTAAAAAATTGCCTAGGAAAACTGACTTTTTCTGGATTTCGGCCAATTTTTCCATAAAAATAACAACAACTTTAGTCGAGTGCATGCACAGAATTTCCTTGTCAGTAGTGAGAGATTTTGGTTGTCAGCAGATTTCGCGTTAGACAAACAAACATGAACATGATGAAATGATAGGCTCCGTTGACAGCTGTGTTGGCGACCATCACCATAAACGGAGATCAGAGGCTTAGTGGAGGCTTCCTATAGCCCAGTTCGAAAGCCGAAAACCATTCCTCGAAAGAACGCCCTGGACTCCGAGTCTAAAGAAATGTCAAGCAGCCTCCTTATGTACGCCCTCAAGTGAAACGCGCCACTGATGAATATTGGCAATGCTATGCGGAAGCGTATTTAAGAAGTGTATTTTAGTGAATTTAATTTTAAGTGTCACTCAGGCAGTTTGGCTTAGAAAGTAGTTGCCTATGCTTATGATGACTGTGTCAGTTAGGAAACGGGAGTAGATGCTACCTAACATTTGGCGCAAGGCTACATTTAATAATGAAGGGTGCTTATTTCCGCTTAAACCGTTAATTTTTACGAAATAATTGACGAAGTTTTTAATTTCTCATGGTCAATTCCCAGTAGGTGAAATTCTTCCACACTTTAATGTTTAAAACAAATCTGTTCTTAACGGATTTTATGGCCCTATCGTCTGGATCATAAATCTAATCTGAAATACTCGGACCTAATGGCTGGTTTTTCTAGGCCTATCCAACCATTTTTGATGTTTGAACACGCTCTGAGTTTTTAGAAAATACTACGGGGATGCCTCCATCGAATGCGCACAAAAGTGGGGCGAATACCCTAAGGGGTAAATTAACGTTGCTGTGATTTCATCTCTAGTGACTCAGAAAAAATGTAAAATCCTTCGTCCCCGATGTCCAGCAACCCACCCAATCGAGTGCATAAATTGCTGTCCAGTAAATTTCCAAATTCTAGGAATCCCATTTGACCCTTTGAAATTGAAATGGGGTTTACGCGTCGGGATTTTCTGTTCGAGGAGTCTGCATAGTTGGTTGCCGGGCATATCTCAATGCACAGGCCACCTTCGGATTATATCCGTTGCCCCAACCCCGTTTGGTAGAATTTCGCTGACGACAGGCTTGTGCATGCCAGACAGACTGCGATTAATTCTGCCACGTATGGGTTAGCGGTACCTGGATGATGCTGCAGGAGTCCAAGTAGATTGCGTACGATTTTGCTGCCTGGGGAGAATTAACAACAAATGAGCAGCCCAGTTGTGACACATCGTCCGAGCCAACTCCTGCATTTGCCTGTTCATGGGGGGGGGGGGGAAGAGGAGTTGGAAGCAGTTCGAGTCCCGGCTCTGTTTTCCTGTCATTGGTCTAGCCGTTTGGCCTGTTACACGTTCGTTGTGACAAATAAAGCAATTCAATTTTAATGAAACGCCTGAAAAGAAGCTGAACAGATAGTGGTTTTACGCCTCCCCCCATAGTCAGGCAATCGCTGATCTGAAAATCCGTTGAAAAGGCACGAAATATTATAGGAGTGTCTTATGCACCAAAACGCCAATCCGAACTCCACACGGTGCGTGCATTTCCGTTTGCGAGTTTGGCATGCTTACTTGGCAGACACTGAGAGTGCAGTTTTTAAATTTTCCCATAAATTAATCGTTATCTTGGAGTAAATCAGTCTTTTTGGTACTTTTATATCCAGATTGAAATTCGACAGGAATATTTGGCTCGAGGTCCATCATCTACAGCAGAATAACCGCCTAATATTCACAGGCTGTCTGACAGGCAGCCAGTAATACATACATATACCATAAGTGACAGCAGAGTTGCTGGTTAAAAGCCCAGACAAGTGTTTCGTCGACATATTGGCGAGGGAATGGATTCATCAGCGAGCCTCCCAGCATCCCACGTGTAGTCTCTAGCAGATTCTCGTGTCTTGAAATTGTTAATTTTTAATTTTCTCGCAGGCAGAAAGCTGGCGGACTCAATAATGAGCCCAATGCGTCGCGCCAGTGTCACACAGCAGCAGAATATCGGCGTAACACGTGTCTGGGCTCTTAACCGAATACTATGCTCTCAAGTATGCTATATCGCGCAATCTTTTTAAAAATTCGATCCTCTCCAGTCGTGGATTTATCGCCAGTGTGAAATTAAACATATTTTCTGTGGCTATTTCCCCCGACAGACTAGAGGCTGCCTGCTTCCCAATGCATCTCCTACCCGAGGTCCGTCCGTGCGGCGAAATCGTTGGTAAACTGGCCTTTCAGTGGGAGGGCATTCCAGCCGGCGCGGACGTCTTTGTGGCTCTGGGTGATCTTCAATGTTCTGTATACTCGTATCTTCTTCAAGAGGGCACCGCCGGTGAGTACTTTTATGGATCTGCCAAAATTTAGCCAATCAGTGGCAACAGCGGTCAATGATGCGCACTTATTATGTTTCCTGCTAACCTGACATACATCTGTGTTCAGAGAGTGGGCAGCCCCATCAGAGTGATATTACATAGTTAGCTTACTAAAACGATATTATAGAAGATGTGCTAACTCATGAAATGTCAACCAATATTTCGAAATGCGTTCTCGTTTCGAAAAGATAAAGTAAGTAGTGTTGTAAAAGTAATCATGATACAGCATAAATCTATAATGATCCAGTTACCTCAGGGTGTCGGCATTCGAAAGAACTTATTTGCGGCTGCATTCAAGATCTATACTCAGCAAAAATAACTACTTAAGTAGTATGCGATTTTCTTATTGGGTTTCGATGCCCTTGAAAATTCAATTATATTTCATGGAAAACATGCATAAAAATATTCATTTTTTTACTTATACGGCAGAGAATCACGTCTTCTTCCAATGTCGTACTCAAAAGAACAGTATAATTCGGTTTTAAAAAGTTTCCAATTGTGAGATTTTTTAATACCTTTAATTGGCCGTTCATGAAACGTCATGTATCTGCATTTACTAATGTGGCTTGTAAAGTTAACAATATGGCTCAAATCCACTGCTTAATTTTATGAACCTCATATAGTCTCCTCTTAACACCGTAGAGAAATGCATGGTTTTCCGTACACGGAAAATACACAGCTTGTAGTTTTGAAACCCTGAATGCAAGTTTAACAGCAGGTCGGGTTCAAAATAATTCGGGAATTAAAAAAAGTTTTTTAAAACCGAATTAAACTCTTCTGCTGAGTATGAAGTTGGAAGAAGACGTGATTTTCTACCGAATAAGTAAGAGAATGAATATTTTCATGCATGTTTTCCACGAAATATGATTAGATATTCAAGGGCATCGAAAATCAACGAGAAAATTGCAGATATAGATCTTGAATGCAGCGGAAAATAAGTTCTTTCGAAAGCCGACACCTTGCAGTAACTGGATCATTATAGATTTCTGCTGTATCATGATTAGTTTTACAACACTACTTACTTTGTCTTTTCGAAATGAGAACGCATTTCGAAATGTTGGTTGACATTTCATGAGTTAGCTCATCTACTGTAGTTAACATACCTAAGTCAGCCACTCGCTGGATTAGGAAGGGGAAAAGAGCGCAGCAGGGAAGCGAGTGAAGGTGGCATGTAAACTCTCTCCCCGGCACAACCGCTCGCTGGATGTAGAGGATACGGAGGGCGTAATCACAACTGGCAGGCCACTAGGTGAACCGCATAGCAGTTCGTTGTGAAACCGGCGGAGTTCCACACGGTTGGAATAATGCCATTAACAAGTCTACCTGGCTACTCGCTGGGCTGAAATAATAAAGAGGGTGCAAGTAGGGCTCAAAGAACGCGCAGGAAAGCGCATGTGAACTGATATTTGAAGTAAGGGGGGCTGGCGTATAAGCACTGCTCCCCCGTGACACAGTCATTCGCCGGATTAAAATGGAATGGAAGTCAGCGGGTAACAATCGGGAGATGGCACCCAAAAATCCCATTACCTAGAAATATTACTTTTAACAGTGAACTAAAACGCCTTAAGTCTATATCAGCGGTTGCAGGCCCACTTTTACGCACTACTTGGACTTTCCGCGACGGCCTAACATGGGCTGGCCGAACGAACATCGCAGGAGGTTACGTGGACGATGGTCGCTGTTACCCTTCCTTCCCCATCGTTATACACGTACACCTGAATATACGGCATACATTCGCATTATGGCAGTTTATCACAAAACAAAATCACTTTTAAATAGGGTAATTCTGCACAGCATGTGGCAAGAACAGTTCCAAGGCATCTGCCAAAGGTAGGGCATTGAGTCCAAACCAAAGACGATACTGTACTTCGTCTATGTGAGCTCACACAGCTTGACCACATGCAGGGTCTCCCTAGTGGAGTTTCCTTTTTAGTCTACTCCAGTATGCCTCAATGGCATTGGTGTGCCGTCCGGTGGTAGGGTCCTTAAAGTTCCTTGAGTGGTTAACAGAGAAATGTAGATAACGTTCTGAGGGAAGACGATTATACGCCTTCCACTCGTCCGCTACCACTATATTGCCTTTGGAGACGCATTTTGTAATAACGGAACGGAGGGCGGGCCAATTTCGATCATTCACCTGTTCAAATAAGGCTTTCTGTCGGCTAGTATCGTACATCCCGACCAGCTAACACCCATAAAACCCCTATTACTACCTGTCCCGTAAGCCAGGCTGCTTTGGTTAGGCGGATTTTTTCGGGTGCCATCTCCCGATTGTTACCAGTCAGCGTATTCACATCTACAAAAAAGGTTTTCAGGACGCTAGCCATATGATAGCACTCAGGTGGGGCTGCAGAACCAAGCTTCGCCAAAATTTGAACGAGGTAACAATGCTAAGGATCTCTTCTTGGAAGTCTGCGGGGTTGACGTATGACGAACGTTTACCTTAGTTCAGACTCACCAAACCCAACCCCGGCTCGAAAACTTTTTTGTTCCACTTTTTACTTCACAGCGAATCAAAATTGCAAAAATATTCGACCTTATTTTTCTTATTCTGGAACATACACTAATCGACCTACCGATAGTAGACAGCAGAGGGGCTAAATTCAATCAAACGTCTGAACAATGCCCATTATTTGAACGTGTGCATAATAATACTCCCCCTCCTTAAGACAGAGCAAATTAGGATGCTAATAAATGTAATTTGTTTCGCAAATTGAAAGACGGTAGAAAAGGGATTCAATCTATAGGTATTATACGGAAATAGGAGCCCTGCCCATAATTCGCGTGAACCTACGCCAAATTGCATGGAAACGAGGGTTAGAGTCGATGTTAAGTTTAATGTCGTCTTATTTTATCCTCCGGCATAGCGAGCTGTTGGTGTCAGACGTCGCATATGCACGCTCACAATCGACAGAACATTGAAAGGTTTTTTTAAAATAACAAAATATTTCCTTACTAGAACTACATATTAGCAATCACTGAATTTTGACGGAAGGGACTTCTTATTCCGCATTATGTTAGCATTAAAATACAGACCTTTCCAATTCTCTGCATTAATCTACCTTAGCTAGGCAGCACTGCCTAACTGTATAAACGATCCCCATGACCGTTCGATAAATCTTATGATTCCATAACCCAAAGTATAAGGAACATAATTACTTTGTGCTTTTTTAGACGGTACATCTTTTGAAACGTGGCAGAAAAAGATAGTGAATAGGCTATACCGAAATTCGCTCTCGGTTGCGTCCATGTTTGAGTCAAGACCAACATATTTCCGTTGTTAGGGCTTCTGCAGTACTTCGGTAGTAGGTCATATAAAAACGCATAATATTTTCTCTCTGATTCTATGAATAAAAATTTAGATATTTGTAAATCTGTGAGATACTTCTATTCACACTTCGAAGTCGATTGGGCCAAGAACAGACTTTCAGCCAGAGGAGAATAAATGTGATAAATGGGCTCGAAATCAATAATTTACTATCGAATCTAGAGACTACATAAACCTCAAAAATATACGCGTGAAATGGGACCATTTTTTTTCGCGAATAAGACCCAGGAGAAAATGGCGAAATAAGTCCCAATTTAAATTCCGCTTGACACGATGTTTGCTCAGCGCTCAAGAATTCCCTCCCTGTTGAAAATACATTTGGCATCAGTGGATCGCGGGTCCTAGTGCATAATTTAGTCAACGCCGCGCCGTCCCTAATGACATTCTTTCAGGGCGTGGCCTATCTGAATGCATAAAATGGGAAGTGCATATGTGATAAGTCCATGGTGTGGGGTAGTGTTAGTTTGCAGTTCGTGGGGGTGAATTGGAGTTGTAGTCAGAGTTCAAAGCCAGAGGATTTCATAATTAAGGGTTTGGCAACAGTGAGCTTGGTGTCCCAGGGAGATGAGCCACAGTACCTGCCCTCCCTACTTAAATTAGGAATGGCCTGTAATTTTTGCAAATTTTTGGAAATATCCAAAATTTCAGCTTTCAAAATCCCAAACGGCTTTTTGGCATGGAGTTTAGGCCGTCCTAAGCAAAATAGCAGCCAAGGGACACGATAAGCCCCCAGGGCACAACCATTTTGAGAAACCATGGACTTACCCAAAATTAGCAACATAATGTTCAGTGTTGCAAGAAATCTGCGCAAAATGATCAAAATGCCCTTCATTCAGCTAAACAAGAAGTTGGACAGAAAGTCATTATGCCAGGTTTTATCAAACACGTTTTCTTAGTTCGAGGTTATAATAAACTGCGAAGGGCATCTGGGCTCTTGCTAAGAGTTTTAAAGCAAACTTTTAAAGGCTAGTCCTACACTTTTATAAAAAAAAACACGATGGTCTGAGGAGCAGCGTTGATCCAAAAACAGCATACTTTTATCATTTCTTTTTTACTGAATACATTCGCACTAACCACCGAAAATCTCAGAGTCATCGATATAAGCCGATCCTGAGAGAACAGTTAGTAGCTAAATTAATTTCGATAACTCGATCGACCTTATGGCTGATGGTACACTCAAGTTCAAATCTCAAGCATTCTGAATGTGACCAATTTATGCGGAATGACAGCTGAAAGGTGTTTATAGGCCGATGTTTACACGTTCGTCCCGGCAAACTCTACCAGAATCTCCACAGATGACCTGAGGTGACGTCAAGGCAGCCAGAACTGTTTACCATGCCACCGCGCTGTTGTTCAGTTGCGTTAGGTTAGGTTTTAATACCACAATTAACAAACACTATGGCGTCAGGTATTCAGAACATCTCAACATGTATTAATCTGCCTAAAATACTATTTTGTACAGGCGGAACTTCTAGTTTACAGGAATAACCGGTTTTTGTAGGCAGATCGGTTGAGGTAATAAAAAACCTCTCTTGAAAAGGAATTCAGTGTAATTCCTGCGAGCCATAAACGATTTTTATGTTCAATGAATCACAGAGTGGCTTTTGGATCGCCAAAATGCTGGATTTTCCATTGAGCGACCGCTGAATACGGCCTGATTGAACATATGCAAATGCGCAATAATGAAGTTGAAAACAATTATGTAAGTTAGGAACTTGTGCATTTTTAGGCAATTATTTGTGCACTTAAGCACAAAATTACTAAATTAAGCGAAAAATACGATTTAGCTGAATGGTTTGAACAAAAATTTATGAGATTTCCCAGGAACCTAACACATACATCGGTTTTGCAATCCTAATGGAAGCAAACTGCAAATAAATATTCCTTTAGGGGTCTTGCGGTATTCGTCAAGTGAGAGTCATACAGAAATACCAATGCATAATTGTGTTGACGGCATTCCTTACTCTCGGGAGCACTGTTTAAAAAATTGGTACTTTTGTTAGTTTTTGAAGGGAAGAATAAAATAGCCTAAGTATTCCATAATTTATCATTGGTGTATGGCATAAGAAATGATCGTTTTTTCCCAACTCTAGTGGATTTTGACCGAACACTATTTTGCCCTTCTGCGGGTTTTTGGAATCGAATCCTAATGCTTGCGTTTGATTTTTTCATAAAAAGACGCAATGCATTAACTCACCGTACACACACTTATCAAGCCATTTTTTATAGAAATCGAGTATGTAAGAAGGGGAATAAATCGGTTTTGAAAATTTCGGAGACGCAAACATGGTTATTTAGGTAGTACAATAATGCTTACCAAAAATGCGAGATTATGTAGACAGTGATTGCAATATGTGACAAAAGACCTTTCTAAGGAAAATTATAGGGTATGCTAATTACACTTAATGGAAATATCCATCTTTACGTTGAGGCACTTTACGAACTAATAAAGACGGATGTTTTTTTTATAAAATGTGTGAGTAATTATAAGCACCCTTTAAATGTGAAGTATTATCTAATGGATGGAGTATGAAGCCGGTTCTTTTGAACAAAAATCGAATTGGCGCACAATTCCAGAGCATGGATGAAGTTCGTTCTCGAAAAATAGTGTTAAATTTTTCTATCTGCCGAATGGGGGTGAATTTTTAGAAGACAGCGTAAACAATATATATCGGCTGGGAGCGCTAAAATGGTATGCCCGATTGTACTGGTGGGAATGATTTTAATCAATCCCGAAGTACAAATGACAACTGAACACTTTCCAAAACATCCTAAGCCTCTATTATGATCGAAAATAAAGCCTATCCGAAATTATTACTGGCAATGACAAGGAAGACTGGAGTGGCCATTTCGGACTTATCTCCCGTCATCAACGAGTCTTTCTCGCAAAGCGTCCCAACTTCTGATCGGCAGTCGTCATGCAACATCCCAATTAGGGTAGGTTGATCAAGATTGATTAGCGAACGCCACACTTGCGCGAGGAAATAATTTGCTTGTCAAGACTATGTTTTACAAGCAGCAGCTCCTGAGTCTGCCATAGTTCATTCTTAAATAATGTTAATCTCTTGACATAAGGGAGATGACTGGCGTCTAACTTCCATTGCTGCAGTATTTCTTTCATGGCCCGAGCACCTGATTACATTGCCTGAGGCTTGGTTTACGGCCACAAATGGGATTGGGTTTACTGCAATCAATATATTTTCTGCTCGCGTGCGATACAGAAGACGACATTTGATTTAGTTGATCGTTCATTTGAACGACACAACTACGCATGAAATATTTAAGCCAGCGTGTAGCTCCGGCGCCTAGTTCCCTGACTGTGTGCATACCTGCTTTCGAAGCATTTCTGACAAGCAGCTTGGCTGGTCGCAGGTTCAGGTGGTGATTCAGATTAAACTATAGCATGGACTTCAGTCCATGCTGACGTTTTGGGCCTGTTCTGCTTCAAGCGACTCTGGAGGCACCATGGGTAAGGCTCTGTCTGACAGCTAGCTGCAGCAACAAAAAGATTTTCAGAAGACACCTTAGCAACTGAGGGGTAGTCTTCTCGAAAGTTAGGCGAAAAATATTACTGGCTGTTCTTGTGTTCATTGAATATTAATTAGGCTTCTGCTGCGGCACTCTATACCCACAGAAAAATGTATTTTTGGTACTTTAGATCTTTCCCTATCTTCCCTCGGATAAAATGATGAAGTGGTGTGTCAATGTATACATATACATATACCTACCATATATACACCTACCATAGTTTGCTGCTTTAGACGTTATAATAATTACTTTTGGAACTTGCTTCTTTTAATTTTTACTTTTGACATTCTGAACCCACTGAAGACTTCTAGGGTAAATGGATACCATACTAGCAGCACAGGTATCAACCAAAAGCCCATACATGCGTGTTCCGCCGACATTCTGCCGCTGCATGACACAGCTGCGAGGTGTTCGGCTCGTCAGTGGGTCGCCCAGCATGCCCCGTGTATTTTCTGGTAAATCCTCCAATTTAGAAATTGTCGCTTTTTAATTTCCTCAGCATATAACTGCGAACTTGGAGTAGATCAGTATATTCTAAGTCTATAGGCACAGACCGAAATCCTTATTTATGAATATTTAGGCAGAGGACCTAGAATATACTGATCTACCCCAAGTTCACAGTTAATTTCTGTGAGACTAAAAAACCAAAAACCAGTAAGATCTGTTGTAATGCACAGTAAGGCCTATCACTGTAGTGAGAGTGCCGTTTTTAAGTCAATGTCCTACAGGGACATGAACGCATGTGAGAAGTGTGTGTATATGGTCATTTGAGATAGGTGTTCTCAACTCTTAACAAATAACCGATATTCGTGGATGTGTCCGAAGGCAGACTATTTAGTTTGACCACAATATCCAGCATCGCATGCCTCACATGGGATCGGTGGTCGCCACTCCACCGTTTAAATTTTATAATTATACCGGCAGAATGTTATTACCGACAAAAACAAGGGAGACTGGAATGGCCATTTCTGGCTTATTAGCCGTCGTCAAACAGTCATCCCCAACACCGAATTATGGAACACCTGGAGCTCGAAATGGCGACTCGTCGGCTCAGTGATTACAGACATTGGAATTCTAACTAACAGGTCGCGAGTTTGCGCCTCAGGCGTTCCACAATTCCGGGTTGGGTATGCTGGCTGAAGACAGCTAATTAGCCAGAAATGACCACTCCAGTCCCCCTTGTCTTTGTCGGTAATAACATTCTGCCTATAGCATGCGTCGTTGTGCGGCTGCTGGTTGAGCTCGAGAGCGAGAGTCCATAAGGCACAACAGAACGAGTGAGTTCCGTAAGAACGATCGGTGAGCGCCCCCTACCATTGTAGATTCCCGATCGAAAACCAGCTGGGCCGCTTTTCTGGGCGGAATAAGTGGCCGCACGGGGAATACGCGCGCGCACTCTGCTCCCATTGAAGTACCAGCAAGCCAAAATGCCGAGGAATCTTCACGCCGCTGTCAACGCCTGTGACGGGATTGCGGTGATAAATGGTCCGAATGCGGACGGGCGGGCCATCAGCGTACCCATTGAGACCACCGGCGATGAATGCGAGATCTGTGAATTATGGCACATATGTAGCGGCATGGCAACTCCATACTATAAATGCTGCATTTTTTGAGCGTCCATCACCCTATCTGTGGCCGCCTCTAAGGACGCGTTCAATTGCCAGTCAGAAACGTTAGCCGCCCAAACTCTAGTTGCAACAGTAATTTCTATTTCTTATCAACAACTTGCAGGAGATCACCGTTTTACGTCCTTTTACGGATAGGTCTTTGAGAGCGATAATGTCCCGGTTTGGGAGCTTCCTAACTCACATACTTGATATCCTTCCCGTAAACGAGTTCTGAACAAAAAATATTCCTGCTGATTTCGCCTTACGATTAGGATTCGTTAAGCCTTGAACGGTAATAAGGAACTCTGAAATGTGACATAGAAGAGGTTCTGAGTGCCAACCAGCCAATGAGTGAGGCGGCGACTGCAGGTGAAGTCCTAATTAACGACGGGCAACATCTACCAGTTAGCAATACTGTTGTGAATCTTGAACGTCTCCTAACCGAACGATTTATTGGAGTCGAAGAAAGTAAATGCTGAAAGTATTTAATTTGGATGGCCTCCGAATCGACATTTGCCAAATTTTACTAATCGATTATGGTAATCGGCATGATGAATAATTGACAGCGTATTTCGCAGACAATGAGAGTAACCACCCTTTCCAGGTATAATATTAATGCTGCGTAAGATGAGGGAGGTTTCTGTTTTTTTAGTTGGATGATCCAAGAGGCGCCCAGTTCTCGCAAGTCAAGAAGCTAGCATCATGCGTTCTCACTGCAGACTGCATCGTGGTCTGTATGACGTTTATACTCTTTCCAGACAGAGAATTTGTTCTTATGGGATGCAAAGTTGAACCCCGTTCCTAAGGATGATGTTGGAAAATGAACTGTCTAGTAATTACCTGGGCAGTTATCCACACGAGCTAATAGTGTCGTAATCATTGACTTCTCAGGAACTCGACACGCAAAAATATGGTGTCCATCTTCTCACCTACGGTTCGGAAAATCTTTTACTTGCACACTCCACGAGTTCTCATTTTTGCTGTCAGAGAAAGTCTCATAGCTCACAATGAAGAGCTCGGCTGAAATGCATTCTTGTAGCCAAACGCGTGCTACAGTGAACTTCGAACCCATGGAGGACCGCAGTCTCGAAACGGTCGCGTTTTAAAAGAATAATTTTATCGATTACCGTCATAATAACGAGATTTGTGGGGATATCAGTGAAGTTTGCAGGAAATTCACGCATGATAAGAGTGAAGTCCATAGGCTCCGACTTGAAGATATCGGGGTAGATATGTTGAGGATCCATCCTCTGCGTAGATTAGTATTGTAAGGTTGCGTTAACTTGTGGAGCTCGAGCGAAGGTGCAATGTTACTTAATAAAGCTGCTTCATTTTGACCTAATGGCTAGATCGAATTGACCTTCAAAAATCTACTTTGCAGTGAACCATTTTATTTCGTGTTAATTCAGTTCAAAGAAGAAGCCTCGGGAGTAACTGTTAACCAGCTAAGCCAGCTGTTTACTTATGGTTCTAGACCTTTCATTCTATTTTCGGGGACTTGAACATTATCTAAAAGAATCAGCATATAAACTATTCTGCCGAAATATAGCTCCTGTATATTTAACTTTACATAATTTATTAGCATATCGCTTCATCATTGTGGGCCTACAATAAGAAGAGTAGAAATTCATACATGCCTCTTGATGGCACAAGTTTTGAACTAAAGCCCTTTGATTGGAAGAATTTTATATATATGTCCTTGTCCATACGTACAACGTTTTTGCGCAGGCCAATGTTCCATTTTAAAACACCTCTACAGGTCTCCGCTCCAGATGGTTTTTGAATATATTTAAATATGGTCCCTGCATTTGAAAGTATTATAGGACGGAAATAACCGAAGAAACGAATAAAGTGAAAGTTTTTAAATGCTCAAAGTAACACAACGTCATGCATTCAAACAAATATGCCATGGCTAGGAAAATACGTCACCGATATATTAGTTAGACATTTTTGTTTATCCGTCTGAAAATGCCAGTTCCTTTGCAGGTTGTTAAGTGCTGCTAGGTTGCCGAGTTAGCTAATTTACCCGCCGTGCTAAGAAAACTGCGCTTCACAACTAAAGACCTCTTTAATTTGTTAGTCTTCCCTATCTACTTTCAATTTTTGGCTATTTATAGAAAAATGCCATCGAAAATTTCGAGAAACTATTTGTATCCTGAAGATGAACTCAAAATGGGCTCACAATGACAGAGTACAGTCAGCTTTAACCCCTAGTTCTTTCAACTAGCTGGAGACAGAATAACGTTCATGCAAGCAATCTAGGCCAATTTCAGTCCAGTTTTATTTTTATTTTTCTGCATCTCTGAAAACATCAGCATACTGTAGGTTCACACTCGTTCGCAGGCAGATACAATCGGCAGGACAAAGTCTATTCTTAGTTCAGAAATTGTTTTGAAGAAACTTCGCTGTCGTCGTCGCCGTCGTCTCAATCTATCGTCCATGGTGTTCAAGCAGCTCTTGTTGACTTCTAGAGTGCAGGGCATGTCAACATCTCTAAATAGCAGAAAATGTCAACTATGAGCAGTCACGCTGGTGGTCTACTCATAAAGCGACTGCATCTTCTGGGCTGTTTACTTCACCTGCATTACTTAGTCTGCAGTACTGTTTCTCCGTAATAAACACTATTAGCCCTGCCTGCCATCGTTGTGTCTAGCAGTGACTAACAAAATGAGAAGTCTACTTTCTGCTAAATGTGACATGTTGAAACTTTACAAGGCATGCAATAACCAGACCACCCTGCATATAACGTTCTTTCAGGCTTCAGCCCATTGTTCTGAGCTTGTGGATCGATCCAGAAACTTCAGTAATTATGGGAAACTGCAGAAAATACCAACCGATGCTTTTTGAATTATCGACCCAGGGTATATATTTTATACAGCGTTTGGAATTTACTCATATTACAATTATCACTACCGCGCCACCGAAGATACAGGACAAGCCCTTACGAATTTGAGGCTACTGCATGGAGTAATTTTCAAAAGTGAATTCTGATATCGACATTGGTTAACTTCGGAGAAATATGCGAATGTTATGGGATAAGTAAACATACACATAAGGGGCTTCGAAATATCCCGTCTCGGAATGACGTCGATTAAAAGTAAGACTTGTGCAGTAGGTGGCCTATCCCTCGAAATTCTTAAATGTGTTTTCGATCAGAAGGGACCACACAGGTGGAGTTCTTGTATTGATTCGTACTCAGTAGAAACCCAAATGCTAGTCTTTGAGCGTGCTTCTCTCTGGACGCCTGCGGGCATAACAGTTGCAAAAAATGACTACCCACTTTGACTTTGCATAGTGATTTTCGACATCCTTGTGAATTCAAATGCATTTTGAAGGACACACGCATATAATTATTCGTGTGATATTTTTGTAAAGAATAAAGTCTTCGTTAAATTTTAAACTCATTGAATAATCAGGTTTTGGTTTTAAAAGTTTTAAGTGCGAGGTCTTTTAAAATTGTGAAATGCCGACGTACTTGACCGTTTGTCAAGACCACTTAAGGGAACATACAGCACGATTCATGTCCAGTGCTAAATTTTGGGACCTCTAGATGACATCTTCTTACAGGCTTAGAGAAATGTGTAATTTTTCACAAATGGAAATTGCACAGCTTGTACTTTGAAAAGTCCGGTCGCAAATTAAACGGCAATTCTGGCTTATATTCACATCCTGACCGGCCTTTTGTTTAAATTGGTAAATATACTTTTGCAGCATACAATTTGAGGCTGGCCTTATTTTTCGCGAAATGAATAGAATAATGGGTATTTTATACGTCATTACTATAATATATAGATGAATTTACAGGTCTTCGAAAATAAAAAAATAAACATTGCTTAAATAGTTATTTCAATCAAATGCCGTTTATGAAGGCGGCTTGTAAGACTTGCATTCAAATGCTGTCGGTATGGTTCGACTGAAATATCTGAAGGGCTAAACTGCACAATAATCAATATTGCAGTCTTACCGAAGCAGTCCTTCCTGATCGAAAACGCATTGCGGAATTTCAGCTAGTATTTCCTGAATTATGCCAGTTTTAAGCCATTGGTTTGGGCCCCTAGAGAGCGTTGTGATGCACGGAATTTAACTGTTCAATTGGATTCTGGCCTCAGTCCTCTGGGTCCCATACAGATTAAAAAATTTTGACGACTACAGAAGCAGGGAAAAGTTGTCTTATTTCTAAGACATATTATTGATGTACACATTTAGGTTACTTGTGTGGGTTTTAAAAAAAATATCACAATGGCTTAAATTTTATTATCCATTCTTGAGATGAAATAAATTGTGAAATAAATTGTTTGGAAGAGCTTGTGCTGACTACCTGAAGGCCCATGAAGTTCTCAAGACCACATGCGGAATATTAGCCGTGTCCAACATTTAAATGAAAGAATTTAGGGCATCTGACTGTCTCATGATGCACAGAAATTGTGCAGGTTTTAGCCAGTAAAAACACGCGGCCAATTAGATGTCGGAAAATAGTCTTTGCATATGAACATCCATCTCACTTATGCTATCTTCACTAGTTAAAAGCATAGTCAGAAATCTTAGGGGACGTCCAGAGAGCAACTGCACCCCCTGTAGATATGGACGAAAATACTCATTTACACCGGCGCCACCGGGCGCCCAGAGAACATCTGCAGTTGTATGGTTGGATTATAATCAAAAAGGGAAGAGTAATCCAGTTTCCATTTCCCATACGCAGGATCTCGGCCTTTCACACGTTCACAATGGCTGAATGAGGAGAGGTGAAATATATTAGTCCGATGTAAAAAACACTCCATGAGCACAAACACTAAACTTGTTTGGCCAATCTGAGAGCTGTTACGAGCGTGAAAACAGATGCTTCCTCTGGGCTGACTAAATGCGAATGCCAACTAGTTAAGCAAGGCTGCCCAGCATCCTGTGAACATCTGTTGATAAAATAAACGTTTGCTTGTCTATCGAAGGGCCACCTTGATTCCGGCGAAACCCCTGCGATCTGTTGACACTGCAGAGAATTGTCGCTTCTGATGAGGGGGAGGGAGGATTTAGATTAAATCACGATTACTGGCTCTCCTTTGGACTGATCTAAAATATTCTGTATCAGGAACTGCCGAGGTTATATTTGCGCCTACTGTTTAAAGAAACAGTTCACTTAGTAAGTACTTCTCAACTGGTCGTTTAAGTGACATTTAAAATCCCGCAGTCCTAGAATAATTGGGCTTCCCTTTATCTACAACCCACTGCCACATTATTTTCATTAAGGGCTTTAAGAGAAAATTTTGCTTTCGGAAAATGTGCACTGTTTGTTGACACTTTCTACAAGCTGGCAGTGCAGGCAGCAAGTCGTAAACAGTGCCGAAACCAAAAGACAAAAGTATAATTTACTTGTCAACTGTCTGGAAAGCGATCGCCAAACGAGCGTTCGTGACCAGCGAAAATATAACTGTTTTTTTGGGGTCTGAGGTCTTGAGTTGTGATTTCGGCTGGCCATTTTCAGAGACCGGAGAGTCGTATGCTTGTCCTCTGGTATCTCCCTCGTTGAAAAATTAAAGGAACTGCAATTTAATTAGTTTCTTTGGAGAGCATTCGTTGGCTTCACCTCTTTCGCCGTTAACCGAGCACTCATGTCCGGGTATCCTATCTCTCACTACTGCCCGTTTGTCAGTAGGTAATTGCTCTGTTCTCATGACAACTTACGACCGCAAATTGAGCTTGCCCTCTGGCGTCAAATTTCACACCACCAACTAAAGGCTTGACCGGAGCACGGTAGACCGTGGAATCCAGGTATTTTTGAGGGCACCTACGTGCATTTTCTTCACTCACCACCATTCTGACGGCAAAACTAGTTCCAGGAACTAGTTGATAAGAAGCAGAAGTAAAATTAACGCTAAGCAGATTCACCATTGTAAGCGTGAGAAGCGGCAATTAATCCAGTGACCTACGATGACGGCAAGCGACCAGTTGCAGCTAACTTATGGTCGGTGTGAATTTGCCTAGATAAGCTTCGTCCAAAACTTGACTTAGAGAAACTGCTTATGTCCCAGCTACCAGCCTTTTGCGGCCGGTGTCAACTGAGGTGAGATTGCCACATTGTGAATACCCAGGTATATAAGCCGTATAAAGCGAATGGTTGACGTAATCATCACCGTGGGCGGAACACAGGCGATCCAGACCATTTCCACAGGAACGGACGGAGACGATTCGCCCACGCATACGATTACGTCAGACGGCTGGGTACTTCGTGTTCGCAATGTGTCGCGTTTGGTAAAGGGACCAGCTCGCAGGCGTAGAACGTGGAAGACGAAAGCAAAATGTCGAGTCTGACACTGCGCGCAACTTTATCCAGGAAGACGGGAGGGTGACGGAGGGAGTGGGGTGAAAAGTAGCTTCATACAACTATCACGGCAGTATACGCTAACTAAAATGTACACTCCGAGCTGATAGATGAAGTCATAGCAGCTGAGGAAGCGGACCAGCCTAATGCTGTGGCGTGTGAGGTGGATTAGGAAAGTAAAACGTATAAAAGCGTAGTAACAATACGACACATGTCAACAGAATGCGGGGCATAAATCAGGAGAGCTTTGCTTTGGGCCTGACATTTCCAGTAGTTACTTCAGCTGCCATTTTCAGGGGCCAGGGGGGGGGGTCGCTTGCATACCTGTCATCACATGGCACACAATGTCTGATTGTTAGGTCACTAACGCCCACTGCATGGTACGTCCCGCAGTTGACCTTTCTGACGGGGGATAATAGTCGCCGCGCCTGATTCACGCCTTTTATGTCTTCTGTCAAGAAGGTGTGCAAAATCAAGTCTATGTGGCGGCTGTTTAGACAGTCGTGGGACACCAAGCTTCTTCTTTCCGCCTTGACGCATGATCACACCCAAAATTATGGAAAATGTGTACCGTCTGAGCGGCATGGTTTGCTACATCGGAATTCAGGCTCAACTTTCGAATGGCCGACTGGTGTTCAAGCACTCGCGTTTACAGCCGTCAGCCAGCTTTCCTACATCGCTCGCTGCTGCTCTGCAGTTCTTAGACGATGACTGACTCATCCTGGTCAAGTATGAGGTCTTTTGGCTCCATCGCCTACCCACATACTGCTGCTTGACCGCAGTGGCCGCGGAACTCCCTTCAAGTGAAGTAGGTGAATTAACTCATGAAATCTCAACATAAATTCCGAAATACGTTTTCGTTTCAAAAAGATAAATCAAATAGGGTTGTAAAAACAATCGTCTTGCAGCATAATTCTATAATACTTCAGTTACCCCAGGACGCCGGCTTTCGAGTAAACGTCTTTATATCTGCATCCGAAAACCATACTCGGTTAAGAATGACTACTTACTTAGCATGCATTTTGCTCATTGATTTTCGATGCCCTTAAAGATTCAATTATATTTCATAGAAAATATGCATACAGATATTCATTCTCTTGCTCATTCAGTAGAAAATTACGTCTCCTTTTAATTTTATACTTGAAGGAAGAGTATAACTTTGTTTTATAAAACTTTTCCAATTCCCGAATAATTATGAACCCGACCTGCCGTCACACTTGCATTCAGGGTTCCCAAACTGCAAGCCGTAAAATTTCCGCGTATGGAAAATCATCCATTTCTCTACGGTATTAAGGGCAGTCCATATGGGGTTCGTAAAATTAAGCAGTGGATTTGAACCATATTGTTACCTCTACAAGCCACATTGGTAAATGCAGAGACATGACGATTTATGAAAGACCATTTCACGGTATTAAAAAATCTAATAAGTAGAAACATTTAAAACCGAATTACACCCTTTGCTTGGGTATAAAATTGGAAGAAGTTGTAACTTGTTATCAAATGAGCGAAAGAATAAATATTTTTGTGCCTATTTTCCATGAATTATAATTGGATCTTTAAAGGCATCGAAAATCAATGGAAAAGTCGTGCCATTACGTAGTCATTTTCTGCAGAGTATAAATTTTGCATGCAACCGAGAAGTTCGTTCGAAAGCCGACGTCTCGCGATAACTGAATTATTATGGCATTTTGCAGTCCAATTATTAGTTTTACAACCATGCTTAATTTATCTTTTCGAAACGAAAACGCATTTCGGAATTTCGGTTGACATTTCATGAGTTATCCCACCTATTGTACGTACCGCTCTGCCAGGATTTCACCGGACTGCGCTCTTCATTCCGCTTCCTTAGGGGAATTCGGTACATCTCAGAATATGTGCGTAGGCAGCTGTTGGCTCTGATTGGCTTTTGGAGGAGGTTTATCTTGTCCTATTAGATGAACGCGGTGCTATAGCGAGTTTCGCTTGCATTGTAGTCCGATGCTTGCTGTTCAGACTGGCTATTTGTTAGTGTTGGTCGGTTCCTGCCATCGTCAGCTGGACGCTTAGCTGACGGCTGCCAAGGGCATCCATGGACGGAAATTCGTCCTTCATTTCACTTTCTACCTCGTCGAGTACTGTCGTTTCCTGCAGTAGACAATCTTGTCCCGTTCGGTGAGGAGAAAGGTTTCGTAAGAGTGGTGCGAACAAAGGTCCTTCGAGCTTTTGGAGAATCACGCCTGAAACAAGCTCATAGTTTGATGAATCCGGTGGACTGCCGTTGATGTGGTCCCTTGGAAGTTAGGTAATGTCCCGTGGCTGTGCCTTATTTGTTCTCGCCGGAATTGCGTGCGTTACGGGGCTTCGGCGCCTCGAGGTGTTTATACTGTAGGGGCCCGTTATATTGACGTGAAAAAACGGCACCATCGTTTAATTCAGTGGGTTTTAGATCGCATCTTTTCCATCCAGGAATCTTTTTATTGAGTGTTCAATTTTTTGTGAGCCCGTGGTAAGTAACATCAGATTCTGGGATGACGATTTCTCAAGCCTGTATGTGGGTGTGCTCCTATGCGAGAAAAATAGCCAGAAAGGACATCCGACTTGCATCTGTTTTTGGTGTTAGTAACCCTATTTTCTTTTGTCGGGCAAGAAGGATTTTCATCTTTGTGAGCGACAAATTCAGCGTAACGACATCGCTGATTCTGCAGAAATCTTGCCTGATTAGGCACACCAGGACTTAGTTTTGATGGTCCGCCTTGTCGATGACAACGGCTGGCCGTTCTTTGTCAACAGGCTGAATCAGTATTTCCATGTCGACTTCAGACTCCTTCAACGTCATTTATTTCCCCTTAGTAGTATACTGACTTCATAGTGTGACATGAGCAGCGAGGTAACCTGATGTTGAAGGAGGTCTTTTGACTGGTTGACGAAGAACTCAACCGAAGGAAGCAGTGAGGGCGACCGGAGCCATGCTGCACGAAATTTGTTTGAGACTTGATGAGGCAGAAGTAGTCCACTTGGCTTTAGTAGCCATGTGGTCGGATTCCGGGCCATTGGTAATTGTCGTTCAGCAGGTAGTACGTCAAGTTTGGAGGTACTACGCGTCAGTCTTTTGCCGTTGGTTATCACAGCGGCGGAGTCAACATGGACGGGGATTGCAGGGGAAGCAATAAATTCGCTCTCAACCTGACTAATAAAATGTCCGAAATTTTCGGGGATGCAACTTCGCACCGAGTTGTCAATAGGAGAGGAACCAGCGGCCAAAACCGCACAACTGTGGGAGTATTCCACATGTGCCAGAGCCGTCTCTTACCAATCTCAGAACGACAGATGTCCACCGTGTGCTCCACAGACAAAGTGAAGCAGAAATGTCGACTTGTGCATGGTTTCGTTTATAGGGAACGTAGACTTGCACAGCATCTATCACACTCCCTCCTCCTCCCCCACCTGGACCAGCTGTCAAGACAGTCAAGAAGACCGGAGGGCGTTTCGGCGAGTGGTCGTGTAGAACAGGTAAATCAGTTTCTAGGGCTTGAGCGGTCTCTAGAGCCCTACCCATCACCGACCAGTTTGCACCCTTGTTCTAGCGTTTTGTAGCGGTATTCTCAAATGCGGTGTCAGTCACCTCGTCCTATCGTTTGAACTCTCTACATGCGATATTTGTAGCTGGAGGTGTTAATCTTACATGAACAACCATGTCATTCGTCGAATACGTCGGAGAAGCCTTTGCCTGGTCGACTCTGTGTTGACAGGAGGCCTGTTTGAGAGGTTTATCGGCTAACTGTATTTGGCCAGGAGCTGTACATAGGGCATGGGCTTGTCGAAGGACAGCCTCCCTCCAATCACAAGTCAGTTGAAACGTTTCGCGCCCAAAATCCATATGGATAAGCGGGTGAAACAGCGAACCGCAGGTCGCCTACCAGAAAGAACCTTGTTTTGTGGTTTCGGTTGATAGAAGCGAACAGGCGAGTTCCAGGTAGCAGTTCAGAAGACGAAGATGCGATCACTGAAACAAGACATTTATCGGCCTGACGTTTCGGATTCTCACTCGGACTGACAAGCCAGCACCGCATCAATTAGGACCCCAGCGGTGATTGCGAGGGCTGTTAATTACAGTACGCATATGGTCCCACGGCGGCCACGTGCTATAAATACTGCACTCCTTGTGTCACCACTACCCTTATCTGCGAATGTCTCTGATGATGGATTCGAATAAGAATCCGAAATGTCCGGCCGATAAATGCCTTGTTCCAGTGATCGCATCTTCGTCTTCTATGTGGTTTCTATCGTGTGAGCACGTCTTGATGCACTTTGTCTTGACATTTAGCTAGTCAAATTCGACTGGGGATATGACCCGCGACCCACCGCGGTCTCTACTGTCCCCACCCTCTTTGACCGACGGGGTAAGTGGTTGTCCCGCTTGTGTACTGTCTCCAACCAAATAGATTCGAAAAATCAAAAATAACCCTCTCCATAAGTGAAGAAGAAGAGCCGAGCTCCGGAAAACACGGCTAGATCGCAGTCGGTAGCCAGGTCCGTATTACAGGTGGCGAGGGGTTTGTTTACTGGGGCTATTTTGTGGGGTTCCATAATCGCACCGGCCCTATTTGGCTTCCGTTTTACGTTTGAGGTTAGGATTAGGGTACCAGTTAATGGTTTCCGATTTTCGGGTTAGGGTTATGCCTTCCGGCTTGGGTTTTCAGTTAGGGTTAGGGTTTGATTGTGCGATTAGGTTTCAGTACTACGGTTGGGTTTTTCAGTTATGGCTATGTCTAAGGGCTACGGTTACATTTACGATTTTGGTTAGGTTTGCCGTTAGGGTTAAGGGTCGAAGTTTAAGGTTGAGGTTAGATTTAGGGTTGGGGTTAATGTTAGGATTAGAGTTAAGGTCGCCGTCTGCTACTTGACTACCAACTGCGATCTAGCCCGGAACACTTTGTTTATTGTCCTGAGCCTTCAGATTCGTACAGGAGTCCATCGTCCGAGGTAGTAGCAACAACAGAACAAGCGACAGTTGTAAGGCATGTAGACCAATCATCGACCGCCGGCGTCTGATCTCCTTACTCTGCCTGGAGTCTTTTCCTCTTTTATTTAATAAACGGCATCAGACAAGACACGGGGTTAGGTATGACAGTTCGACGTCGTTGCTGGCGGTGTTCACCGTGTGTTCCATGGCAGGGACAGAGCAGGTGGGGTGATTTGAGCGTGATTTATTTTATAGTGATGGCGGGCTTGCGTAGCGCCTACCGCACTCTCTTCTCTCTTACCTGGGTCCGGTGTCATAAGGGCGCCATAAAGGCTATCCATTACAGCCTGGCTCTTACAATGCCTGTCGGTCACTCCTGGTTCGACTTCGAGGCCCATGTTTCCCGTCAGTTGACAGCCTATCAAGTTACAGCAGGCGGGCTTACTCATACAATGTCAGCTGAAGTTCCGAAATGCGTTTTCGTTTTGAAAAGATTAATAAAGTGATGTTGTAAAACTAATCAGTCTGCAGTATAATTCTATGATAATTCACATACCTCAGTATGCTGGCTTTAGGAGGAACGTCCATTGCATGCAAAAATGCTACTGTGAAAAATGACTACTTAAGTAGCATGCATTTTTCTCGTTGATTTTCGATGCCCCTAAAAGTCCAATTATATTTAATAGAAAAGATGAATAAAAAATTCCTTCTTTCGCTTTTTCGGTAGAAAATTACGTCTTCTTTCAATTTTAAACTAAAAGGAGCGACATAATTTGGTTTTAAAAAGTTTCCAATTGTGAGACTTTTAAATACCGTGAAATGGCCGTTCATAAGACGTCATGTCTCTGCATTTACCAATGTGGCTTGTAAAGTTAACAACATGAATCAAATGTTAAATTCTTTGAACCCCACGTGGGCTCCTCTCAATACCCTAGAGAAATACGTGGTTTTCCGTACGCGGAAAAAACATGGCTTATAGTTTGGAAACCCTGGATGCAAGGTCGGGTTCAAAATTATTTGGCAATTAGAATAGTTTTTGAAAACTAAGGAATACCCTTGTTTCGAGCAGAAACATGGAAGAAGATGTAATTTTCTACCGAATAAGCGAATGAAGGAATATCTTATGCGTGCTTTCTATAAAATAACACTGGATTTTTAGGGTCATCGGAAATCAACGAGAAAAATCCACGCTTCTTAAGTAGGCATTATTTACAGAGCATCGTTTTTGTACGCAACCGAAACTATGTTCGTTCGAAAGCCAACATCCTGAGGTAACTCAATTATTATAGAATTATACTGCAGGCTGATTAATTTTACAACCCTACTTAATTAATCATTCCGAAACGAAAACGCGTTTCAGAATAGTGCTTGACATTGCATGAGTTAGCCCACCTACTGTACGTGGGATTGTTTATAGTGAGGAAAATGCTCTAAGTCGTCGACCTCAGTCTCCCTTCTTAGTCCCAGGTCCTGGCCGCTGTCTGAGCTGGCCGGTCATCTGGTGCGGTTAGTGGGCGCAATAGCTGGCATATCTATTGGCCACGTCTGCGCGCGCTACATGCACGACCTGTCCCCATAAACACAGGCACAAGGATGTCACACATCAGAGGGTGGGCGGTATACTCCTCATATGCGTGAGACTGCCAGAGGTCACGTCACATTAAGAAGGAGCCGTTGCAGCCTGACTCTCAGCCTACCAGTCCGCCACTCCACACATGACTGGGCAGACTGCGTGGATTGAGTTGGTGCGTCAGTCGGCAGTCTTCCAAGCCACGACGCTTGACGCGCGTGATAGCCTCAGCCTCAAATCACACGTGCAGCAAACAAACAGCATGGAGACAGAGCCGAGACGCTTGCGTGGGAGGTTGCAATTGGATGCTTGTGCTAGATGATGATGTTGCGTGATGTAGGCGGAGGGTGGTGTAACGATGTAGTTTAGCCGGCGGTGGCCTACCGCAGGTTTTTGTGAATGCGCATGTGTCCTGATAGGCCCATGCCGTGGGTGAACCTGCAAGGGCAGTTGTGACGAACGCGATGAGTGAATGTGGGTGCACCAGGCACTGAGTTGCCAGTCCCTATGCGATGGATTCGCAAGTGATCGACCAGGCCGATTTGTAAGGTGGAGGTGGGGGGACAGTTTGGGCAGGATAGGTCGGGAGCGCCAGAGGTCGTCTCTTTGATGTTGATGGTGGTGGCGGAGGAGGAGGAGCTGCTGGGGTAGGTTCGTTGGGCGGTGCGGCGTTGATTGGGCTAGAGATAGTGGGTGTAGAAGGTGCCCTATGTGGGTCGATACGGCGATGAATTCCGCTGTCGTGGATAAGCATGTGACCGGCTAAGCCCATTCGGTGCATGAATGTGCGTGGGCAATGCGGACAGCGGAGGCGGATGCGGCTGGTGTATTTGGGTGCCCCAGACAATGGTTGATCAGCCTCCATGAGATGGACTTGCAAGTGACCTACCGGGCCGATGCGCGAGGTGAAGCTGCAGTGGCAGTGTGGACAGGTTGGAATCAATAGAAGCCAGGAGACAAGTCCCAGAAATCAATCTAGACGAAAGAGACACGATCGCTGGGACAAGAGCTTTATTAGACTGATGTTTCGGGTTCCTGCTCGAACCCATCATCAGAGACAAAAGCAGATGATGAGGTTCGAGCAGGAATCCGAAACGTCAGGCTAATCAAGCTCTTGGCCCAGCGATCGTGTCTCCTTCTACAAAGTTGGGACCAAGTCCACACCACTCGTGTTGACGGCGAAGTTGATGTTTGATGGTACGTTATGAGTGTTCGCACTGGTGGTGGAGGCAGAAGCCGTCGTAGCACATTTTGAGGCGGGGACGCTGTTGGAGGATAGCTACGGGAGATCGGGAGTACCGTTAGCGTTGTTTGTGAACACGGGGGCGGGGCATAGGTGAATGGGGAGGCATCAATTGGTGTTGTCCGAATGCTGTAGTTGGTCCAGAGATGTACAACAAGAACGATTTGTATCCAGAATGTTCGCTGACACCGTGGGCGGATCAAAGGCAGTTGAGCGTTGGCGTTGCGAGGTAGGGGCAGTTGAAATTTGGGAGCTTCACGTTTGCCTTTGGTGGCGCTTGCGCAATTGTCTTCGTAGATCGCTGCGCCGGTCTTCAATGTCCTCCTCCAAGCCCATCGGCTCTTGGCGAGGTCATCCCAGTTGGCCGAGTTGATCTGCAGGCGCTTCAAGGAAGGTCTTTATAGTGTCCTTGTAGAGTCGTACTTGACCTCCTTGTCAACGAGAACTCGTGGCGATACCTCCGCAGAAGGGTCGTTCTGATAGTGTAGACAATAAACTTTTGCGCTGAGAGGAAAACGCAATGGCGTCATCTCTGCCCGACTACTCTGATCGGATAACACTCCGATCTCTTTTGGACGTCACCACTACGTGTTCAGCAGGACTTGCTGGCCTCGCAGAAGGACCCGCTCCCAAAAGAAGTCTGCTGCGTAGGCCTCGCTTTTGAGTAACTCTAGTAAGAGGAACGCTGAGTCCTCGTTGAAACCGTGGTCCTGAGTAAGCTGGCCTCATGCCCTTCGAAGACCACAGAGAAGTGCTCGGTTGCAGGTTATGCGAGCCGCGCGACAGAGAACCTCCTGCAGACCTTGGAAGGTGTTGGATCTCAGTCCCCAGTGCAACACTCTCGGCCTAGCATGAAGTCATTTTACGTAGACGGGCTATTTTTCGCATTGCTTGGACGAGTGCTCTGCGTTTAGAAGAAAGGTTGCCTAGGTCGGAGCGTCCCTGTGCGCAGGCACCCTGATCCAGCTGGAAGGCCGCGACGACGACGATCCAGGGTTTATGCGTCCATGAAATTGCAACAGCCGGACCCACAGGTGGTGCACCACTGACATGCGACAGCCCAAAAGACGACTAAACCAAATGAAACGCATTCACACGCCCACGCGTGACTGGAAGCGATAGCAGAATTGTCGATGTAGCCTGCTGGGGTTCGGTTACGCACCATATGACATACGGCTCTGCAACCGATTCTAGGGGTGCCTATCCCAGCATCCTAGCGACGAATTTAATCATAGTCCTAACCCCCCCCCACCCCCCCCCCCCTTAGAATTTGGCGTCAGGCCAGCTGCAATACGGGAGGGCTACCTATTCCCATGTCCTACCCAAAAATTAAATACCGACTCTTTTGTTTGCAGTGCAGCATTCGGCCGTTAGGTTACGCCTGCTATTTTTTTGCCAGTCAAACCTAAGGCAAACGAAGCATCTCAGATTTATATTGGGAATATCGTGGTGCGCCTTATTTAACGAGAACCACAAAAATGTGCATGGTATATGACTAAACGTTAGAGCATGCGATTAGGGAGGACTTACAAGTAAAGCTCCTGAAGATTGGACGGATTCACTTACCAGGACAAACGCGCCTTTTGGCCTGGACAGCCTGATTGGGCAGACAGTATTGAATTTTTAGAGTGTCTTCTACAGAAAATGGTCATTTGAGTGTGGACTTCTCCATAAGTCTTTCGCCGGTCAAAAAAGCCTGAAAATGAACAACCGATTTTAAGGCGCAATCTTTTCAGCAGACTTTAATTCTCCCATTTGTTCTATACTATCTGAACTGTCCGGTACGTTTGCAAAATAGAGAGGATGATGCAATGAAGTCTCCGTCCAAAAGTTATTCCCTGCACTTAAGTGAGAGGGTGAAAGTAATTGTGAACAGTCCGTTTGAATTTCCACCACCTGGACAATGCTATACTCCTCCTTATGCTTAAGTAGCCATCAAACACGCCCCGGATGCCGCTTCAAAGGAGCACCGCAAAAGATCAAACGCCACAACCTAAGTCTGGGTGGCGTTCATTTATTTTTTTCTGTTTTGTAGTAGATTGCCTGGTCAAAACGGTTTTTGTTTGCTAAAAGCATGCGCGTTTATGCTGATATGTTTTGTACAGCGGACTTGCTTTGAGTAAAGGGGCCACCTCAGCCAACCAATTCGTAGTCATTGTCTTTAGTACTTTGCGGCTGTACAGTTTTTATCCATCTATTGTGAGATTTGAACATCCTATCTCAAGATCTGGGCAAATGCTGTGTCCTTTCAAATAGCGGTTTGTTTTATATCATATGAAGCACGGCATCCGCTCCAGTGCTCCAGATTGGAAGCTGGTCAATGGGAAGACGGAGAAATTAATAGTCACCCAGGTAGTCTAATTTAAATTATTATTATAAATGTTTCTGATTTGATTCGAATTAATTTAGGCACGGGAATACGTAACTCCTCATTGCAGGTGGTCTTTCGCTAAATCCCTAAGGAAGGGGGGGTTAGAGTGAGTATTATGACTTGGAAAGTTAGCGTTGATAATGGGGTTAGGGTTAAAGTTAAGACACGTTAACAGGTACCGCACTGGAACTTAGTGTATGCCACCTGCAATAAGAAAGCGCACACTTATTTACTTGTCCCCAACCGCGAATGCGTCCTTGAAACCAGAATATTGACTAGCATAGATAAGTTATAACGGGACTATGCTTGCACGTGAAATTACCGTGGTCCGGAGTTAGGAAATCAGGTTACTAAAAGGATGCCGCATATAATAAATCATACACAATGGGTGTGGTCTATGGCCATGAGTACATGCTCCGGGAGGCAATTGTGCTAGAAGAAATTAACTGACGATATCTATTTGTACGTGCCAAATACAGTAGATTTGCTAACTCATGAAATGTCAACCAAAATTTCGAAATGCGTTCTCGTTTCGAAAAGATAAATCAAGCAGTGTTGTAAAACTAATCAGGATGCAGCATAAATCTATAATGATCCAGTTACATAAGGGTGTCGGCCTTCGAAAGAACTTATCTTCGGCTGTATACAAGATGTACTCTGCAAAAAAATGACTACCTAATTGGCATGGAATTTTCTCATTGATTTTCGATGCCCTTGAAAAAAAATTATATTTCATGGAAACAAATGGATAAAATATTCATTCTTTTACTTATTCGGTAGAAAATCACGTCTTCTTCCAATTTTATACTCAAAGGAAGAGTATAAATCGGTTTTAAAAACCTTTTTAATTCCCGAATAATTTTGAACCCGACCTGCTGTTACGCTTGCATTCAGAGTTTCAAAACTACACACTGTATATTTTCCGTGTACGGAAAACCATGCATTTCTCTACGGTGGTAAGAGGAGACCATATGAGGTTCATAAAATTAAGCAGTGGATTTGAGCAATATTGTTAACTTTATAAGCCACATTAGTAAATGTAGACACATGACGTTTCGTGAACGGCCATTTAAAGGTATTAAAAAAATCTCATAATTAGAAACTTTTTGAAACCGAATCATACTCTTCTTTTGAGTATGAAATTGGAAGAAGACGTAATTTTCTACCGAATAAGTAAAGGAATGAATATTTTTATGCATGTCTTCCATGAACTATAATTGAATGTTCAAGGGCATCGAAAATCAATGAGAAAATTGCATACTAATTAAGTAGTCGTTTTTTTGCAGAGTATAGATTTTGCATGCAGCCGAAAATAAGTTCTTTCGAATGCCGACACCGTGAGTTAACTGGATCATTATAGATTTATGCTGCATCATGATTAGTTTTACAGCACGTCTTAATTTATCTTTTCGAGACGAGAACGCATTTCGAAATTTTGGTTGACATTTAATGAGTTAGCACATCTACTGTAAAGAAATAAAAAGACCTCGTTGGCTCTGTTGCGTAAAGGCGGTTAAGATGCTTTAAGGTAGTCATTGGAGTAAAAATACAGCAATGCAATACCTTTTTGACAATGCCTGCAAAGTAGCATTAAGTTTATTTCCTATTCATGTTAGATGTCAGAAATAGTGCCTTCTTCAATCGGTTGCAATATAGAGGATGAAAAATTTGTGATACCAGAAAGTTCTTAAAACATTCAACTATTTCTGCCAACAAAAGTGCTCCCCAGTGTAAGTAGCCCCGGCCATAAGCCATACCCTTGCCAATAACACCTTTGGTTCAACCTTGTTAAAATGTCACAAGTTTGCTCGCATGTGTTCGTATAAAATCCAATGTGCAGGCCGTTCTGTATTCTCGAAAGCTGGCTTCTTGCAACGCTTCTATTATTCTAAATGCTGTCCGAATATGGCGATTTCAAGCTTCGACTCAGATTTTTAAAGAGTTTAAGGGATGTAGGCTCCCGACTTCATACTAACCAACCAGCTACGAAGCAAAGAGGATAATTTAATTAGTAAAATGTTATTTGGAATTATGGTGTTCTGTGGTCGTTTAGTCTTTTACGATGAGAAACTCCAGTGTTGGCATGAGATGATGGCAGTTTATTTATTGCCAGCGACGAGAACTACCAATACACTCGGAACGGTGCTGTGGAGACATGCGCGTGAAGGAGGACATGCTCCGCGCCAAGCTCACCCGCTCTTTCTTCCCGCTCTCTCCGCTCCAGTGCTCTCCGAGAAGTGTTTAGATACTATGAGCCGATATGTCGATTAACACTCACCAGGGTATCATGGCGTATCGGTCTAGTGAGCCGAGGACACGCATTCGTCTAGAGGGATACCTTGGTAGTGGCATTGATCGAAACCACGCAAGCGTGATCTTCAAATAATTTGCTTTATTAGTATATGCTGTCCAGTCCGTTGTGGCCACATTTACAGCGGCTGCAGTGCAACTGAAGTGTTAAATATATTTTATATGTCATTCAGCAGGAATGGAAAGGTGCTTACCTTCAAAGAGCGGTATGATAAATATGCATTATTGATGATGTTTTTAAGAAACTGCGCCCAACTGAACAGACTATGCTGCACTTGTAATAGTATTGGAACTAAATTTGAGCAGTTGGCTCTGGGTACCAGGATGTATAACTCTTTTGATTCCTTGTTTACAAGTTCCGGCACGGATGCAAACCCGCCTAGACAGTTATCACATTTTCTGTATTTCTCATAGTAAATCGCTTTGGACACACGGAACTCAAACTTTATTTTTTAAACCCATCAAATATCTGAGCCTTTTTTTAAATATAAGACTGCCTACTGGGAATCTCCCTAACGTCTGAGTACAACTATTCAAAAGGAGCTTGCCGTATTGTCCGTTCGTATAGACTTTCAAAAAATGACTTACCACTTGACTTCAGCAGTGCGCTTCACGCTGCCATCATATAGCGTGCTAATTTTTAGTCTACCGTTATTCAATCCATCAATAAGTTATGTAGCGTTATTCAACGGAGGCGTCTGCTGTTGAATGTAGACATTCGCGGATTCTCTCAGTGCACACCGATTCAGCGTTATTGCGCCCTAATTTTTCGCTTTATTATTAAGCTGTTGCCGAAGATATACAACAAAATATTTAAATTCTTCAGAGCCCCTATCTACCAACACGAAGATTTAGCCCAGTGAAGACGCGACTGTGCCCCCTTTCTTGTCTCAGATTCCTTGCCGACACTGCATACGAATGGCGAATTCATTCGCCTAATGTATCATTCTGCCCGAGTTTATGTAGGAATTTCTGTAGAAAGGCTTGTAGCACGAGAAATCGTTTGACATTGATGATTAGGCCTAGTTATCAGACGGAACTTTAATATATTTTTTCATTTAACCCTCTAAATTAAATGAGGCCTCTGGTCGCAGTGTGAAGCAATTAATTTGTTTAAAAACGGGCAGTCACACGTGTCCAAATGGGAGTTGTGAGGCGGAGAAAGTAACAATGTAATGGCCATTTCCGGCTTGTCTGCCTCCAGTAGCCAGTCACAGCATGCTGCAGTGGTCTGACTTTTGAATGCTAATCTGAGTGATCACCAGGCTATCTATCATATGTGTGTTCGTGAACTCTGTACCCTTGTCACCAACACCAGACCGAAAATATCAGCAATTTTAATTTTGCTGCCGGCATAGCTGGCTGATGAGGTCATATATATCAGGAATGAGCCAGCATGCGGTAGTCGAATACCGGCTGGTGATCCGTCTTGAAGAGGCAAAGCAAAAACCGGGACGATCAGACCCCACTTTGCGCTTTCGCGAGACTAACAAGAACACATGCATTGCTGTACTGCTTGGCGTACTAGCAGTGAGTTGAGATACTTTTGGAAATTAATTCCACCTTGTTTGATATAGTTTTCATTGGGTTTTGAAGGCCACATTTGACGAAGGACTCGTCCGAGACGCTAAGGTAAAATCAGGTGTTCAACTCAACAGATTGAACACTACCTGATTTCGCAAAGCTTTTCCATAATTGCTTGCATGAAGCATTCTAGTTGACAGTTGTCAAAGCCTTGAAGAAGGAGACACGATCGCTGGGACAAGAGGTTTTTTAGTCTGACGTCTTGGATTCCTGCTCGAACCCATCATCAGAGACAAAAGCAGATACGGGTGGTTCATGCACAAGGGGCTGCAGTACTTATAGGATGCAGTTGCCATGCTTCCGCATACCTATGAACATTCACGTCCCCCACGCCCCGGGGATCGTTGAACTTGGTGTGCTAATTGTTTGATGGCCGACATTCGCGCCGTTAATTGCTGCAATTTCATCACGTGCGTCGGATGTCGGTGTGGTGATTGCTCGACCATCGGATCCACCGACCTGGAGTTGGGAAGAGTGTTCACTTGTGCGCTCCCCGCGTGGTTAATTATTCCGCCTAGGCGAAGTTTCAGCACCGAGTATGGAAGGTTAATATCATTGTACTTGTTAATGGACTGGGGGCCAGTAAACCATGATGCAAGTAGCTCCCGGCTCACGCAGTTGTCACCTCTTGCGAGAATTTCGGCCTCGTCGAATTTGAATCTGTGGCCGGAACTCGTGGAATGAGCCGCAACTTGAGAGCTGGCGTTATTTCTCAGCACCCCTACAGCGTGTTCGACCATTTTCGTTCGGAGCTGTCTTCCGGTTTCTCCGACGTAGATGCTTTGTCCGCAACTGCACCAGATCCGATAAACGACTCCAGACGTTTCTAGCCGTGGCAGTGGGTCTTTTGGATGTCAAAACCGTTCGCGAAAATCTTTTTTCATGGTGTGGATCCCTTTCAGCGAGAATCTATGCTTATAGATATTTGATTGTTCTTCTTGAAAGTTCGAACGGACGGATAATGTCCACAATGTTTTTGCATGTGGCAGTGTCTTCTTCTCGAGCTTGAATTGTTTGATTACGTCCATGGTTCCTATTTAATTTGTGTATTACGTATAGATTTTCTGACTCTGAATGCTAACTAATTTCTGTCCAAAGAAAGCAAATACACCCTCTGTGCTCGAATGAAAAGGACTGTTAATAGACCCAGTGTTACGTATTTTATGTCATGTTCTCAAATGATCACGTTTTTGACCTTACGCTTACTTAAAACGCCGTGTCAAAAATACGTAAATTGTAATATTTTTAGCAGCAGTATAACTACCCTGTGCTTTTGTTTTATGAAATACAGCGTAACTATCGTAAAGTCCGAGAATCGGTTCTATGCTTAAATCTTGGTTTCATCCCGTGATGAACAAATCAGACATCATTAAAATGCCCGTCGGAGAGCCAACAGATTGCACCTCAGGAATTATCCGGGTACAACGTCCCACAACCACTATTACGTAACCGTCCCTACTGGATAGCATTAGGGGCGTTTCATTAAAAGGCACTTAATTACCTTTTGTCGTTTGCTGCTTAAGGAAAAAACTGACGAAAGTTGGTAAACACGCAGCCGCCCATTTATTTACTCATGCTGATAGTTGAATGGCAGGGCTACTGGGCATGATCGTCGACCTCTCGCGCGTAACCTCTCTTCGTGCCTTCTTAATAACGGTCCGAGGAAGGCATGTGCTATCCAGCATGACAGCAGCAATCAAGAGATCCTCGGGAAACCCGGGAGGAAGGTGGGCGTAGTATTTTTTGGTAAAACTCCCCTTTCTTACTAACAAAGCGATTACAGGCCTGGAATGGCCATTTGTGATATACATAGTCCGACGTCAAACTCCCGACTGGAACTCCGGTTCGCTCGCCGTTGGCTGCAGGGGTTTCGTAACCGTGATGCGGTGTGTCAAACAAACTGCAATCCCAGGCTCTGGTGTGGTCACTTAAGGAAATATTGCGAATGCGGAGGACGGGACTTTACCAACTGAACCTTTAAAAGACTCGAATTCAGCATTGGGGGTAGGGGAATTGCTGGCGCCACGCGGATTTTGCTCATCTAAGCTGTGTCTATGGATAAAATTGTTTCCTCGCGGGCTGTTCGTTGCCCCTCTCCCCCCTGCCGCATGTGCCCACAAGACTTTCCTTGAAGTTTTGCTGAGAATTTCACAGTGCGTGATTTTTGGTAGCATCTATGTAAATGACAATCGTGTATCTTCAAAAATCGCCCTGACGAATGTTAAATGTGCTTGCACAACAACCCGTGAGAGTTGAGACGGTACAGCTGCTGTTCGCGAACAGTCAATGAATAACTGTCAACGGGAAATATGGAGATGTTACAAACAAGCCCTACGGGCGACTGCATTGGATGCCTCCCTCAAACGTGTATCTGGTAGGCAGAAAAACATCTACCATGGTTCAGAAAGACCTAGAACTCAAGTTGGGGTTCATTTTGTGAATTAACAAGTTAGTCTACCAGATAGATTATCGTCTTTCGTTCTTTCGGTTACAGCCGGAAATAGTTTGCGCCGATCTACCTTGACTATTTTATTTAGCTTCCTTTTCCCTCTTGGAGCACCTATTTGGGGCCCTCAAGGACGACTGAGTAGAACTTAATATCCACGGACACGTGGTTACCAGGAGACTTCTGGATATGTGGCTGATGGATAGTGGTCAAAGTATTCATGCATCAAATTTCGGTCTACTTCTATAGATTTTAATTCAAACTGATTCTCTTCAAGGTAACAGTTAGTTTCTGAGGGAATTAAAAAGCTAAAATTTCTAAACTGGAGCATCAGAAAGCACACGGGGAATGCTCGAGGAACCACTGACGAGCCGAACTCCTCGCAGCCGCGCCATGCAGGGGCAGTAAATCCGCGAAATAAGTGTGTCTGAGCTTTTAGGTATTGTCTTTGCTGTTAGTATGGTATCCCGCAACCCAGTATGTAACTATGAGTTGATGTGAAATTCGGTTGGAAGAAGTTTCATCCGTGATCTCCATCCATACATAGATTTGTCCTGTTATTTCTCAAAGGTGCAGCTTAGCCTATTATCTCAGTACCTCCAGTAAATTTTCGTACGTTTGCTACAAGACCATCGACAGTCTACGTAGTTTACACTCGTGCATTCAGCCGTAAAATGGTTTCTGGTGTTATAGGACACCACACCAGCCGTACAATTAGTAGTTCTAATACCTGTATGGTTTCTTGCAGCCCAAGTATATACTACTAGCTACCTGTTGGCAGTTTGATGAATATTACTCGGTTATTCCACTGCAGCTGATGGACGTCGGCCCAAATATTTCGGTTTGCGCCTATAGACCTTAATTAAAGTCGATTTACTCCACGTTGGTGGTTATGTCTTGATGATATTAAAAAGCAACATTAGACCAATTCTTTAAAAACACTATTGTAATCTCTCCTTGTGCTCTAGCGTGCAACCTGAGTACTTCTGCTCAAATCGCCTTCATGCTGCCGAAGCAGTTCAGCCCCACAAATGCGCATAACCACTGCGATACAGCAGAAACCATCTACAGTCGTCATCTCTCGATGGGCCACATCTCTGAATGGCCTTACTTTTCTCCCGACGAGCGCGTGGTGGTAGCCGCCAGTCTGAACGGAGGCAACGTAATTGACCGGTTTGTGAAGATGCTGCGTGCTTGGTGCCGTCAGCTGGGCTGTGCTGCCATGGAAGACGATCACGTAAGTCCGACAGTCAAAAAAGTTTGGTTTTTCCAGCCTATCAAGCGGGAGTTGTCTGGCTGGAAAACTGCCTGACCCTGGGTTGGCGAAGGGACTTTCCCTACTGATCAGAAGTCAAAATCGGTTTCACCGACCTGCTCACCCACCTTTCACTTTTTTTTCTTTTTTCTTCTTCTCCTTCATCCTTTCTTTCTTTTTAAGGCATCCGACGCTAGGGTATCTCGGTTCATTGGTGTTGATTATGCCGCGAAGCATCAAATATGGGTCTTCTAAGCGAATATCCTTTGGGTATGACTAACGTTTTGGAATGGTATTTTCAACAGAGCATGAGTTCGAAAGACGCAAGACCGGAATTCACAGCTAGTTTTCTTCTGACCGTCTCCGAAGTCGCCATTATTTCACCGTCTGTTCAGGACTCATAATTGTTTCTTGCTTCAACTCGCGTGCTTTGTAGACACCGATGCTGAATAGGAAGCAGAATAATCTTTTATGTACGCATTCCTCCCTCGATACACATGGATTGAGTATGTAGCGTAGAAGTAAATACGTGCACTATGATTTTGCAGTCGTGAGAGAAGTTAAAATGTGACAGAAAATATTTATCACCGGTATATAAGATTAGTGGTTTACAGGGCTAAGTCTACTCAGGTTGGTGTTGTATTTTAAGGAATCATTAGTGATTCCGTTTTTGTTTTTATGCATATCCCTTGTTTTTATACGCTTGTTACCACATTTTCGACTTTCATGTAGATGATACAAATTATTTACGAAAGTTGTTTTCTAATGCCTACTATCCGATTTAAACTGATGACTGATATGCCACACGTCATAGGACGAGTTTCAACTAGACGGCGAGAAGTTAGGATAAATCCCACCAAGCCAACCTTTAACGAACTTACCGATCAAAACTCTGTTAGGGGAATTTCATGTATTGACAAGGTTTTTCGGAAAAAGTGACCAAGTAAATTGGGGTTTCTTGAGGAACATTGTGCTTTCTTGGTATGCTGTGTGCTTCTACCTTTGCTGCCCTTTCGTTAAGATGCAGCTTAGAAACGACGCAGCTCTTTAAAGCATGGGCCAGTTCTTCACCGCTGAAATGCCTTTTTCTTAAGAGGTGTTAATTACTTTCGCATAATTTTAAACCGTTGCAGCCAAAAGCGGGTCAATGTCTTTCGTGGGTTGAGTTATTTGATGTAGGTTAATAAGCACTGCTTTTAAACAAGAAAACCCTTGTTTGACTTCATTTATCTTACGTATAGTTTAGCGCCTGCAAAGCGGAGATTTATGTACTTCGGTTGTTCTCTCATCAAAGATCTGTATCTCGTACTGTATGGAAAGTATACCTCAAACTTTTGTATGTTCCATGAAAGTAGATATTTTCTAAACGAATCGAACGTATGCGCGCCACAAAACTTGAATGGGAAAGGAAACCCTTTGAGCCAACTAATAGTTATAGGGGAAATATCACACGATAAATAATGTCACATGATTCATACAGTGTAAACGTAGGCTTGTTTTTATATTGCGAATGTCCAGAACTTGCACTTACAGCTCTGTTTCCAATTTAGACAAATGACTAAGCTAAATTTGTATCTATTTGAAAGATAGTCATGTTTACATGCAATTTGATTGTTGCCTGTCAGATGGGGTCCACACACTTCCTTGTGCATTTCTTGGCCTTCTTGTAGAAACTGACCAATGGTGTTCAATAAATTAACTGCAAAACAGCCCCTTACATGAACGTTCTCCTCATGCTAACTGTATACGAAAAAGGGGACAGTGAACAGAATTTCGCGTTCTTTTTTAAAGGCTGAGAGTGCGATTTTCAAACGCAAAAAATGCTTTCAGTTTGGACGAAGGTTAGCCGTACAAAAGATATTAATGATCGTGATGTTTCGTTTTCATACCAGCATTCCTACTGGCCCAATTAAGCACGGCTTCGTCGAGGCTCAAATGTGTCGTGCCGTCCTTATATTTCTTTTGAAGTTGGCCCACAAAACATCGTTAGACTCCTCCTGCGATGCGAAGAACGCCTCTGGTTGATGAAATATTGAAAAGAACAACCGTTACCTATTCATGATGAAAAGCAATAATTTCAGGAAAATCAGGATGTTAACGGTAGTCGGTGGTTTACCGAATAACAGATATTCCAATTTGACTGAACGACAGAAGCGAGCTCCGAGTTCCAATCTGCAGCCGGTGATCAAACGCATGAAATTGAAACCGAAATAGTGAAATTCGTTTTCCATTAGGATGTATTAAATAAATAAATAAATAAAGTTGACATTGGTGATAGTGTGGCATACTTCCAAAATATTTCAGTCACGTAAGGATTCCATGTATTTGCCACACTTACTTACGCCGCCTACGAAGAAGTCAGTTCAAAGTGACTACTTAGGCATTATGATCATTTTCCGTTGATTTTCATTCCACATACAAATCCAAGCGTTTTAGAAATCTCGACTGGATGCATCATTTCTGGTATGCAGTTGGCAAAAACTTACGCCACTACCTTTAATACTTGAAAGAATGGTATCTTTCGGTTTTAACAAAACTGTAACTATGAGATTTTTTAAGACCGTCCAATGTTCCTTCAAATGGTCTCCCACTTGCCCATTCATTAATGCTTTTTGTGAAATATACAACGTAATCCACATTTCTTGCAGCACTTTTGGGTCTTCCGTGGTATATTCTCAATGCCATGGAAGGATGTACAATTTTCCGGGTATGGAAATGATACAAGGTGCAGTCTGTAAACTCTAAACGCAAATCCAAAGACAGATCGAACTTAAAAAAGTGTTCCGAAATTGAAAAGCTTTTTAAAAAACAAAAAGCTATCCTTGTATGTCCATTAGCTTTGAAGACGTGATTTGTTGCCAAATATGTGCCAGAAACGAGATTTATTAATTATAATTTCCAAAAAATATTTAAATCGACAAAGACATCGAAAGTCAGTGGAATATGAAGTATACTACTTGAGTAGTTGCTGCTTAACCGAGTTCGGGTTTTTCAGGTGGCCGAGAAGAATTGCATTAAAAATTCGACACCCTGACATCACTGAAATATCCTGGAATTATGCTACACGATAGTCAATATAACAGTCCCATTAAACTAATCCCGCCTAGTCGGAAGCGCACTTGAGAATCTTGGTTAGTATTTCAGAAGATCAATCACTGATTGCAGAAATTATCTGGCCATTGAACTCCGAAAAACACTTATAGCGAAGTTTATATCCTATTTTGGACGTACAAAGTCAAAAGAATATTTGACAAATCGGGCCAGAATGAGGGCAATTACGAAGAAGGCCAATCACAAATGCAAGATTCACTATGGGAAAGGGAAGGCCTACATACAACCGACGCCTGAGGTTTAAGCTCCGTTCCTGACATCCACAACACTCGAGTGCCCCGTATCGCCAGCCCTGCCCGAATCGTTTCAGTCTCTGAATTGGGATAGTCGACTAGTCACTTGAAACCTACCGTCCCCTGAATGAGCGTCTTACTGAGACTGAAATATAACCACTTCCCTGAAGTCCGGGCTGACTGATTAATTAATTTCGTTAGATTTTCGTCCGCATTTGGTCATGAACCATGAAGGGGCTACTTCGGGCAGTGGATTCACCATATTTATTTCACTGAACTAAAGTGTTTCAACAGTCATTTTTGACAACTCAGCACCCGGTGGAGAGTAGAAAAGTCGAGCAGACAGAAAACATTAATTTCAACCGGAGTTCGATTCAGCTTCCTTCTGAATTCCCGCCAGACTTTCCGCTGGAATCCCAGACTACGTCAATTATCATACGCTGATGCAGACAACAGTCAACGTTTTTCCCCTTGGCTTTTTCCACGCACTTTTAGCACAACCGTCGCTCAGAGAGCAAGAACCCGGCATTGGGATCAAGTGCGCAGAGCACCTCGTTTAAGTCTCCGAGGTGGCATTACTTCGCGTGAACGACGCCAAATGGTACCTCTGAATGTTTTCGGGGCTGGCCTATATTGTGCTATTCTCCCTCTACAGGAGGTTTTTTTTATAGTCTGGCAGCTCTGCATGTCGGCCTCGCAGCGGCACAACCAATCCAGCGTGGGCCGTGTTTTTACTCTAAACCCAACTAGTTTTAATTGATAGACAGTTATTTTTCAACCTCCCATATCAGAACACCCGAGACGTGTGTGTGATATGTGGGTTTTCGGTTAAATTGGCTGGCGCGTTGCCTTTTTGGTGCATTTTTTGTCGGTATATGCGAGACAGAAAGATGCTACTTATTTAAACGCAAGAGTAGCACACTTTTCTCATTGAAAAGTCAAGTTGGCGAACACGCGTTTTCGGTTATTCTTCCTCAGGCCAATACAATTACATGAAGGAATGAAAAATGTACAAAATCAACAGTGCTTATAGATGCCTCGAGGGCTATTTAGTCACTACCACTCATCATCCCCACGCCGCCCGCATGAGAAGGTCGGCGAGTGTTAGTCATCAGAGCTAGGGGAGGGGAGTAAGAGAGTCTTTGAATGATGTTCTTGGGTTGAGTACACGGAGTACCCATCATCGTGATTAGGGATTTGAGGCGGCATGGCTTCATCACTTGGGTGCGTGAACATTTGCTCGCCTGGCTAGACAGAGGTGAGACCCGGTCGATTTCGAGTTCTATTCTCGCGCATTTAATCGATACGAACCACCGAGTCGATGCCAAGAAAGCATTTCAGGTTGTCTACCGGACACCAACATGCTTCTCTAAAGGCCTACGCCAACGGATACTAGCAACGGCCGAGGCAGTAGCTATACGGTTAGCGAATCCGGTGTTATGCTGTCAGAAAACTCTGACACAAGCGCTTTCGCTGCCGTGGCCAACGCCAACCCCAAGTGATGAAGCCATGCCGCCTCAAATCCCTAATCACGATGATGGGTACTCCGTGTACTCAACCCAAGAACATCACTCAAAGACTATCTTACCCCCCTCCCCGAGCTCTGACGACTAACGCCCGCCGACCTTCTCATGCGGGCGGCGTGGGGATGATGAGTGTTAGTGACTTAATAGCACTTGAGGCATCTATAAACACTGTTGATTTTGTACATTTTTCATTCCTTCATGTAATTGTATTGGCCTGAGGAAGAATAACCGCAAACGCGTGTTCGCCAACTTGACTTTTCAATTGTAACATGGGAATATTTGCGGAACTTTTCTCATTATTGTAATCTTCGTGCAAGATTGCCCTTATTAAATACGCAATAGTGATTTTACCCAACTCCCAACATTGGCGATTGTTGGAAGCCGGGCTTTCAGCCACGTACCTCGCTGGTTGTATTAGGAACCCTTGAAAGTACAGTTACTGGCCTGCCTCATAAAATGTTGGCCGGAATTACTAAATGTGTTTTCAGTTAGAAATAATTAACTAGGTGAGGTCTTAATTCTGGTTGCCATGCAGTATGATTCCGCGATATTTCCGTCATGCCGCGATGGTAGCTTTTGAATTAACTTTTTTTCAACCGCCCGCAAAACAACTTTGTGTAAAAACTGAACACTTAAGTGACATCATTTTTCCCACATGCATAACATTTCCTTTCTTGTATTCTCATCTTGGCAAACTACGCTTCCTAGAATTTTCTACCCAACGCAAGGCTGTCTTTTGGTTTTGAGGAATTCGCAATCGTGAGATTTTTCAGGATCGCGGAACGTCCATTCCTACAACGTGACATATTTCCCCTCATTCGTTCTGCTCCGCATGACAGATTCTTGATAGCATAACAAACAATGTGACTATCCCCACACGAAAGGTATACGGCATATGGTTTGGAAACCCTTAGCGCAAGTGGAACCGCAAGCCGAATGCACGATTATTCGGGAATTGAGGACGTCTTTTGAAACAGAAAAACAGCCCTTCTTCGGGTATAAAATTGAGATGAGACCAAATTTCTTACTAAATGGGTGCAAGAGGAAATATTTGTGCGTACGTATTCTATACAGTATACTTGAATTTATGAGAACATCGAAAACCAATGATTGATTGATACCTCTTGAATAATGCCAGCAATTAAGGTGAACGTGCACATCACGGAAATTTGCCCTAGGATATAGGACAGGAATTTGACCGTTGGTGTGCTGTCCTGGCTTTTTGGTCTCGTGGATGTTCGTCATCACGGAGCGCGATTATTGTCAACCTTAAGTGTCGGCTGTCTCACTATTCAAGCATGTGCTTGTAACATCAAGCCAGTACGATAAGATTTCACTCTGGCAAAATGTATCTCTTAGCCGTTTCAGGCTCCATTCGGTGCCCATCTTTGACCTATTACTCTTCTCAAAAGCGCTTTCAGGAACTTCTACGTTTACAGTCTTTTGGTGGTAAAGTACACGCCCTTTAAACTCAGTGTTTAAATCTCTGCACCATCGTAATCTGTTTATGGGCACTTTTTGAACACATGTTCTCAACACGTTTTTGAATGTCATAGGTTTATGAACGCCTTACTCATATTCCGGTCAGAAGAACAGAAAAACAAGGTATGATTGTAGTCCCGCGTCTGTTCGGCGAACGAAATTCCCCTGAAGACAGCGCCTCCGTACTGAAAATCCAGTCAGAACATTTGTGCCTTGGCGAAGTCTACGCAGCCATTTGTGAGGGCGTCGTTCAAAACCTTGTTTCCATGGCCCCAGAAGAGGTGAGTAACTCGGCCTTCTATTTACATTTCTGCTGTCTTCAGGTAAACATGACCAGATATTGGCAGTGCGTCAGGTCGACAGCACTACGACCCACACTTTTCAAAATACTTTCTCAATTGAAAGGTCAAGCAGTAGCTAATTCACCGAGGTTAAATTCGCCCAAGGGATACTACTTAGCACCGGCAGTAACAAAAGCAAAAACATTTGAAAATTCATAGAGATGGTAATTGCTACTTTTAGCTTTTGGCATGTAAACGTTATTTCGTGAAGTAATTTACGTGTATATGCGTTGACAAATACATCGAGAGTAAAAGATAGACATATTGGTGAGTTTAGACAGAAATGAAACTAACCTGCGAGGCAATATTTAGTTCGTCGGAGAAATTGATCATCTGTTTGTTAATTCACCTCCGAATGCCCTGCTTTTCGGAAGTAACGACGTCCAACGGTCTGGCCGGTTGGGGGTTTACGGTGTAGATTTTGAACTCAACTCCTGGTGTCGGTGGTTGTCGTTGTTGGATGGCTCTTGATATGTTTTGAGAAAGAGGGATTGCTGCGAAATTCTTTGTTTCTGCGTTCATAACCAGACTACTTACAAACCTGTCCGGTCAGTATTGCTGTTTTTATATGCGAAATTGGATCATCGCGGGTCTACCACTGGCCCGCGGATTGATTATAGCTCAGGCTCCATACAGACCTTAACCGCATCTGTCTAGCTCTCATTTATGAAGCTCGCCGTCTACAGATCGCAAGACAAAGTTGTGAACTCAGTGACCATCAAGCGTAAACGGTTTGTTTTCCAAGTCTAGGCGAATAGCGCGTCGTAATAGGTACAATATCGCCACTGATGTTGGCGAATTTCCTCTCATTATCGAATTAATCTTCTCTTTTCTCTGTCATGTGCTAGTACAACTTCCGAGTCCGAGATTGAACGCACTCTGTCTGCAATGTGCCATGCACATCTGCCGTAGTACCTGAGGACTCAGGCAGATTCGGTACAGGCCATGGATCACTGTGGACTGCATTTAGCGCACCCAGTTCAGAGAAACTGTTTTTTGTGAGACGGTAGGCTGTAGTGCTGTTTGGGAGAACTAGGCTGTGATTTTTTACTGTGTGTTTTAATGCAAGAGCGTATGATCGACAGAGTCTTGTAGTTTAAATGTCCGTTGGCAGAGGAAGTGTCCATGATGAGTGTAGATACAGTTCCCTAGTACTGGTTCTCCAGCCACACTGTCATGGCTTCACAGGTGACCGACCAGACTAATACATCATCGAAGTGTACCGTCGCTGCGCAGGCAAGTCGGAACTATGTCTGCATTTACGGTGATATTGGCGGGTGGGGGACTATGGCAACGATAGTTTCGGTTGGTCTTTATGTCTTATCAACGTTACCGCTGCGGCTGGGAAGATGATTTTCGACCGAAGTAAGTCGGAACTTATTTGAGGTTGTGCAGAGGTGGGAGAATTGATCTCCGTAGGGATGCTATTAATTTATTTGACCTTATTATGAAAGACCTGGCGGCCTCGATAGGATTCAAATCCACAACAGCAAGGGTGAGGTTGAGTTCAACCAACGTCTTAACCACATGATTTATGATGCCCCGCTGGGAGCCATGGGTTTATTCCAACCTGTGTCAAGAACAGCTATCAGTTCTGCAAATCTGATAATCGGATTAGCTGCTCAAGAAATCCTACTTAGATAGTCAGTCTACTTTAAAATTAGCGGCTTCTAAACGTTGCAGTAGGCTGGGTGGGTTCCTTGGTCCAAATGTGATTAAACTCACGGCAGCCGGTGGGATTTCGTGGTTGAGTTGGTTATAATGTTGGCTTTACGCAAGCTTTGTCCATGCTGTTATGGTTTCGACTTCCTCAGTGACCGCCGAATTTTTTGCAATTGACTAAAGGACTTATTCAAATCTACCAAAACAGCTGTTGATACTAGGGGCATCAAATTCGTTACTTTGTGGGATTTTCTATGTGCCCGTTTGGGTTGACGGCGGTTGGTCCGAAAGAGTCCTAAAGATTCAGTCAATGTCGCAAAAGTCAGCTGACAATGTGTAAAAATTGTGGGTTTCTTAAGTTTTCGGCGCTGATTCGTTTCCCTGGGAGCGCATTTGCCTCTCCTATTCGATTGATTTCGTAGATTTTTCGCCCCGCTTCTTCCTTCAATGCACCAGGCCGGAACATTGTATTAAGGGTGCTCCTGTATATCTGTATTGATTTGTGGACGCACCGACAGATGCGCCTAAAATTGGCGACGCGGCGGATGTGATGGATCGACGCGGGGACTAGATTGGAGTTCGGCATATGGTACTGGGGACGTGGTCCGGTAAATCTCAGAGTAAAGCATTAAATCGGTGAGTCACCTAGGGACACAGAGGGCATTGTTCGGCTGCTTAATAGAAAAACGTAAATGTACGCGAAATGCATTACCTGGAGTGTGGTTGGGGTGATGTAAATGCTGAACCCAACTCTCTTCAGTCAGTGACTGTTTTCCTAATTCAAGATATCTCAAGATGACCAGATCTAACTGTTGTGCCATACCTAACAGTAACGCCGATGCACTCCTCTTTAAGTTTGAAAAGGACTCGGTTGATCTCTGGTTAACTGATTCTTCATACAGCTGATTTCGAGATCAATCGTCACGATTGCAGGGCCGGAGGATTCATTTTATGTCATTGGAATCAAGGTGCTCTGCCTGGGTTTATTTGCTTCATCAGTTCAAGGGTTTTTATGGCTGTGAAATGAAAACCCTGTAGCCTTCTTCCTTCTATCGCTGGAACTTCCGCTTTATGTTTAGGCAAAAAACTCATTTCAAGGTCACCGAGGTTTATTTTGGCGATATCACCGGAAGGATGCCCTAATAACATATAAGTACTAATCAAAGTCAATCCTAGTTCTATTCAACTTGCCGGAAGCATAAATGTACTTCACATGTATGGCTGCTGATCAAATTATTGTCAGCCAAATGGCTACTTTCCCCCTGCCGCGGTTTGGAACCTGTAGTTAAACAGGGCAGGTGAGGCAAGTTACATTTAAAAGTTCTCAGCAGTCGCCACAACCCACATCCTATTTCCAGTAAAATTAGTTTAGCTGGTGGTCGTGTGATGGTCTACGTAGCTCCTGGCCCTGGTTCCCCAACAGAATGAAATACCCTATATCCTGCAATCAGGCCATATACATATTAATATAAGTAGTCTCACTCACAGTCGACTGATCCCAGGTCTGTAGCCTGGTTCGCCGAGTGATAACTCGAGAAAGGACTGTCGGGTGTTTAAAACTAAACGTTTAGCATAACCGTCCGACGATAAAAAGAAACTACCTCAAAAACGTGGTCAAAACCTATTCTCATGCTTAGCGAGCGTCACATTTGTGTATATTTGTATAGTGATCGCTAAATGTCATGAAATTTTGACCGAAATGTTTAAATTTATCGTCTAACAGATGGCAGAATTAAAGGCGTAAAACTGCTGTACACTGGCCCCAGTCCAAAGTCAATGCGCATATTCTTACTAAAGTGCGGCTTTCAGTAATCTGAAACGATTTCAGGATTAGACTAGACTTTCCTCTTTGGCTGTCAAAGTGAAGATTTGCAGTCCATGCAGGCGACCGCGTGGTGAATAAAAATCCCTAATTGAGGAGTTTATCAGCATAAACGGGACACTGATCTAATATTATTCATCACTTGGTGGTATCCTGATCCCAAGTCCGACAACTGAGGCTTCTCCTTTGCAAGTAGAACAGACTGATCAACTTCACTTTAGTGTGATTTTCAACCCTCCTGATCTCAGTTCACAACAAGTGAAGCACCTACCCAGATGAAACGTATTTTAACTTCAAATACGTACCGATCTCGATCTCGAAAGCCCAGCCCAATGCTGTTGTCGCTGTCGGCAAAACCTGCCGAAGAGCACATTTACCTTTTGCTCAACTACGACGACTCTAATCTGAAGATACTTCGTTCTAATGGAAAGTGAACCAGTTCAGGTACCAAGCGCGCACCTGAAAGTTCATTCCTTACAGTCTTACTACAGAAGTTTGTGCTTTATACTTAACTTTAAAAGGAGTGCAAGAATCCTTCAATTTTTAGAGATATCCTGAAAATTTGCATGGCTGTAACAAATCAAGCAAATGCCTTTGCAGCCTATTTGATTATCGGAGTTTAAGCAAAAGATATAACGACGATTGTAACCCAATCTTAATTTGTGAGATTCTAAGCTAAACGCCATTGCTTAAGGTATTAATTCCTGAAGGAGGTACTTTTTCACATTAGACATTTCTGAAGAAACAGCCAATTTGCAGTGGACTAAAAGCATTTATTTAACAAATTACGCAGAAGTTGCCTGCATAATCAAAGTCCGCATGTTTACTGGGCTGAGCAGACGAGGAATTTCTAACATACAGCTGCTACTGGAAGAGGGGAAAGAGAGAGGATGGGGCGTAAATCGATAGAAAACGGTTTCGGGCTTATTCTACCTCTAGTTAGCCAATCGTAAACCCGACCACCATCTAGGACCAGAAACATAAAGCACACATGCACATGACACTGATGAACCTAAATTGTTCCGAGTACCGACCTTATCGATATTCACTCGGCGAAGTCCGTCTGTTAGTGCCAAAATTAAAGAGTTGTATTATTATTGTTATTGTTATTATGGATCACTGACAATTCTGTCTATAAATTCTGCCGCCTCACCTCTGAGCACTCGGAATCAGGCTTGCCGGTTGGATGACACTACTCCCCTTCAGACGTGTGTGATAAGTCCGTTTCAGTCCATTCGACCATAATGTTTGAACTGAAATACAATCCTGTTTAGCACTCAGATGATGGCCACTGCGCCGCCTAAACTCCGTCTGAGTTGCGTCGAGGCACTTTTGCTCTGTCGGCGTGGATATCCCTGTTTCGCGCAGTCTACCTTTGTCGCTCGCCCTTAAATTATGCGTTTTCAGAACGGCTCCAAAAATATCTTTTAACGACTTGTCGCCGAAGGGCCTTCCTTTGCTGCGAGTTGATTTTATAAAACGCCTTCGCTGATAAGTCTGCCGCGGCAGCAAATTATCTTACCTACAAATTTAATTTAGCCTTTGTTACAGAAAAAAGGAGGCGATTTTTGTAGGGAAGGGCAAACAATAGACGGTATTCACTGTGCTTATTCCGCACAACGGTCAGTTTGGATAATCCTGGTCGGTGTTTGAACTCGAATGAAAGTTGAAATAAGAACAAAGTGGGCAGTTTTCACGCGGTAATTTCCGGCCGACCTACAGGCTTTCTCACTAAAAGAGGACATGCGGCATGCTGGGGGGATTGGGTCACATAAGTCCTCGTGCTAGTCTTTTGCTAAGTCCTTTCTGGTCGAAGTGGAGAGCCCTTTTCCGTGCTTGCTGAGAGTAATAAATCGCGGCAAAGGCAGGCCTGAAAGCCTGAGTGTGATAGTGTTAAGTGTCTGCCAATTACTTGCAAAATAGGTGTTGCAGCACCCTATTGCATCATGTCCAAATAATCCCTTGCTTAGACGTCTGGCCTCTGCCTTGTTTAATTTCCGAGGGCGTTAATGCGCGAACTTAAAGTACATTATTCGGAACAGATTTTCTCAGGCACGGTCCAAAATTTTATATGAATACTTAGGCTGAAATCCAGCAGCTACTGCGGAATAACCACGAAGTATTCGCAAACGGCCAGCCGGCAGCTAGTAGTATACAATTTTGCAATTATTTACCATACTGACTACCTGTGTGGTTAGTATGGTAGACAATCACAAAATTCTATATCATCATATTTCAGTAGGATGACGTTGTGAGGTGTCTTACGATAGGGAAGAGACACGCTTAACAATTACTTTAGAAATATGCGAATGGAGGTGATTTTGCAAAGACGTTCTCACTGAATGTGTTTCGCCGACTGTTTAGAAGTAAAGTACATTTGACGAAAAATTGGGGCCATATTTTTAAAACTAAATAGGGATTTATATTATTTGCAAAGTAAAGCCTAAAATGTGCCTATTTTTACGTTTTACCAGACTGCTACCATTAATGTGCTTCTCGTGACTGGAAAAAGGGGATTCGTTATAAATACAGGCACGTTGGCACTTGCCTCTCCTGAGTATCTACTGAGCAGTCAGTCTGTTGTGACCGCCAACGTCAGCTTAAAATTTAGACCGGGTGTCTTTCACGATATTTTTACCTCTCACGGCTATACCGGTATACCTTGTGTGTTTGCGCGGTCCTCAAGCCCGCGTTACATTCCAACTGACAACCCACATCCCCATGAAGTTGAAAGTACTGGAATACACTGTGCTAAGGTTGGATTGCAATGCAACGGCTTCACTTTCTCAAGCCAGGTCTACATTTACCCGCTGGCAAGAATGAATCTCATTAAACGCTGGCCAAAATGAATTAACTATGCGTTAACTTCATAATGATAGCTTGGACCAGGCTGTACCGCCAAATGTCATGGGACATTGATAAAAGTCCATCCTTACACAGTGCGGGATGCCAAAGTTGAATTAAACGTCGCTTTACGCGCCTGTGAATGCGTGTGTCGCAGTTCAACTTCAATCAGGTGATTTGTATGTTTTCATGTAATTGTGAATGACTGTCCAGATTCAAGCACATTTCCTAGAAAAAAAATATTAGGCATGCTGATTTAATGGGAACTGTGTCTACTGTTATCAGCCCGCACCAAGAAATGGCAATTTGAATTTTTAAGAATTGGCAAATAACGGGACGTTTGAGACGCGCATTGATATTCACGTGGTTTAGTGCCTACGTATTTGACATTGGCAAGTTTTCTGGACGATTCTTCAACTCCCATCCGAGTTATTCACGGCAAACGGAAAACTGTAAAGTGTTTACTAGGGCAAAATATATGCTGAGTACATTTTGAACTCGGGAAAGTATTGAAAATGCGCTTTGAAATTCTTACAGCAGTTAGGCATCGCTTCTCTCAGCAGAACGTTAACTTTGCAGAAAGCACGATTACACATCCGCATTTCTCAAACACCAAATGAAGTAGATCATTTTAAGTGCTTAGAGATTTTCCAGTGCACGATGTAGCCGGAGAGGGTGTTTCCCTTAAAGCAAGCATGTCAATCACGTTTTCATTCTCACGGGTGTGATTTTTCAGGTAAAAGCACACTTAAAGATTTAGCTTAGTCCACAAGGTGTTTTTTTCCGCCGTTCGCAAGATATTGCGAGCGTAGAGAGACGTGACTGCCTGTTTGCTGCAGACTCTGGTGCTGATACCCTGAATGACACACGGATCACCGCCATACTCTTGGGGTTTACCCTGACGCTAATTTGTAAAGAAGTCCTCGCCCTTAGGGCCTGAGTTTTTTCGCCATTTGTTGTTGACCTCTCGAATCCTGACTTTGATGACGTCCTGATGAGTTATTTGCACGACAATGAGATAAAAAGGGCAGCATACTGGCCTCTTATCTTCCTTCTAGGTTACATGGTGTTCAACACACTAGAATGAGTTAATTTAAGAGGCTGGTGGGGGGAGGAGAAATATGCTCAGACGCGGTGACAGCTAAGACGCGTCTCCCCATTGTGCGCTTGCATCGGTCCTGCCAGTTCCTGCACCCATACCTAACTGACTTCTTCCGACAATCTGCTAGACAGAGAATCATTGACGCCATTGTAGGTGTGATTCAACGTCGTCGTTGTCGTCCCCTGTGGAATCTCAATATTCGTTGCTCCCTACAGACACTAACTCATTTTTAGTTTATGCTTGATTCTTGGTTCATGTTATTCATGTTTACTGGCTCTGTGGGGGAGGGCTTGGCTTTAGACTTTAACTCGAATTATACAGGAAACAGTGTTGGTTGGCGCTGGTTTAAGGATTTCGCTAAAATCCCCCTGAGCGTTTTTTGCGGGAAATTTTTTTGGAGGCGAATGTACTAATTCCAGGTGTATGTATGCATGCTTTAGGATTAAAAAAATGATCGAGCATCGATGCCTTTTGTTTCTTGTCTAAGCAGTTTAACTCGTACAGGAGTTCCTAATCAGAGATAAAGTCAGCTACAGAACAGGCGGTAATTATGGGAGGTATCTGCTGATTAACGATCAGTGACGCTGGTCTGAGGGTGACTGCGTGGGGCTCCGTAATCCGTCCCTAGATTGGTACACAAATTGACTGAGTTCTTATCCGAGGCCCAGGTTTTAAGTAAAAATCGACAAGTTTTGATTTCGTCATAGACGATTATTTCGACGGCTGTGATGTTAGACTCGTGACTCGTTTCAAAGGTGCGAGCATGTACTTGCGGCATTTAGCCACGCCGTCTCACAGCCGGCCTATGCTCGTCCGACCTGAAATGTGTATGTAAAATAAGAGAACGTTGTGATCCTACTTGTCAGCTGAAAAGTGTTCAACGGAGAGATTGCTCCCTAGTTTCTTTGAAATTCTTTCGACTTATTTTCTCCCTTTTTCTATATAGCTTCTAGTAGCCTCCAATATCAAACGCCTCTACTGCATGGGCGGCGCTCTGAAAAGGAATCCCATACTGCTAGAACAGCTGGAGAAAGAATACAAGTCTCTTGAGTGCCTTCCCAACACGGAGTCAATTGAAGCATGCGTCGGGGTGGCTCTCTACAGCGCCTCAGTATTGACTTCGAAGCGCTCGTCGGAGTAATCTCGCTTTTGTCATCATTTGCACGTCAACAGTCATCACTACACACATTCTCAGGATGCCGAAAACGCGAAATTTGAAGGACTGTATATAAATAAAAATGAACGGTACTTGCGAGTACACGCGATTTTATCTTCTCCCACCTCCCCTCACAAAACTGCTCCAACGCACAGATTGTTTTTTGTTATGCAATCTTAACTGTTAACTGTCAGTCACAATGAACACACGTTAAACATACTAGAAGGAGAGATCTAAAGAAACCTACCCCTCAAGGCTGCGCTGTTATGAGTAGTTTGCAAGGTTTATAAGAATCCCTATCACTGCTGACGTCCCTTTGCTACTTCGAAGCTTACATTTGGTGGATTGATTTTACGAGTTTTATTGCTTGGTATGTTTTTTTGTCCATTCCGTCTGTTTTGTGAAGCCGGGTTGAATCTCGGAAGGGTTTTACGAGCACTCTTGTCCCATAAAATATATTATTGGCTTCTGGCTTCTAAAAGTTGTTTTGACGGTGGGTTTGCTGCTACGAAAACTGAACATCCCGGTATAAAGGCTAGTGTTCGGTAAAAGTTTATTTTTCAATAGAGTGCCTTTATCAAGTTGAAAAAAATTTTACAGGGAAAATATTTTATTTATGATGACATTGTCGAACCAATTCTCTACTTCTTTATAGCAGCCTTCTTTGGAGTTTTCAAATGAGCACTGTTTTGAACCGCAAAAGGAGCCCAATTAAATCTATCACCTTATACAATGAATCTCATTAACGTTGCGAGTAATTTCGCGTCTAAATTGCATGCCTTTAGTGAGACTGCTTTGAAATAGAAAGTAGATATAGTAGGTGGGCTAACTCATCAAATGTCAGCCGAAATTTCGGAATGCATTAGTTCGAAAAGGCAAATTAAGTAGGGGTGTAAAACTAATCATCACGCAGAATAATTCAATAGTTATCTGGTTACCACAAGATGCCGGCTTTTAAACAAATCTCTTTTCAGCTGCATGCACAAACAATACTCTGCAAAAAACGACGACTTAGTTAGCATGCAATTTTCTCACTGCTCTTCGATGCCCTTAAAAATTCAATTATATTTTACGAAAAACATCAATAAAATTTTGATTCTTTCACTTATTTCGTAGAAACTGACGTCTTCTTCCTATGTCATACTCAAACGAAGGATATAATTCGCTTTTTAAAGACGTTTCTAAGTGTGAGATTTTTTAATACCGTGAAATAGCCATTCATAAAACCTTATTTGTCTGCATTTACCAGTGCGCTTGTAAAGCTAACAATACGGCTCAAATCGCATATGTTCTTCTCTTAATACCGTAGAGAAATGTGTGGTTTTCCGTATGCGGAAAGTATACGGCTTGTAATTTGGAAACCCTGAATGGAAGTGTAACGGCAGGTCACGTTCAAAATTATTTGAGAATTGGAAAAGTTTTTGAAAACCAAATTATACCTTTCATTTGAGTAGAAAATTGGAAAAATACGCGATTTTCCACCGAATGAATAAAAGAATGAACATTTCTATGCATGTTTTCCGTGAACTATAATTAGACTTTTAGGGGCATCGACAATCAGTGAAAAAATCTATGCTAATTAAGTAGTCATTTTTTGCAGAGCTTGGTTCTTGCATGCAGTCGGAAAGAAGTTTGTTCGAATGCCGACATCATGGGGTAACTGAAATATTATAGAATTATGCCGCATGCTGACTAGATTTACAACCCTACTTAATTAATCTTTTCGAAACAAGAACCTCTTTTTGAAATTTCGGCTGACACTTGATGAGTTTGCCCGCCTACTGTATATGTGACCCAGACAGATGCGTTTAAAGGAATTAGGCGGCTGATCGGACACTGGACAGACGTACTTTTGCTAAAAATTCCAAAAGCCGCAGGCGCGTCTACCTTCTGAGTTTGTATCACAGTAATGCATCTGGTAGATTAGGGGAAATTAAACCGAGCAATAGCCATCGTTTAGAATTCGCACTTTGCCCCGTAGGGATTAGTATGCACAGGGGGATTTCTTGTGCTGTCTGGTTCAGTTACCGACAGATTTCCAGACTTCAATGAAGCACGCGACCTCCAACTCCGAGACTGGGGGCGTAAGCACGTGACCAAACTCGGGTGCGCTGATAGGAGCTTGGTAATTGGTCACCCAATTGAAGTCTAAAGACCAGTTTTCCTCCGGTCTTAGAGGACAGCCTTGGCATGAAGTGCAGTGCGCTGCAGATCACTGATCATAAGGGATTAACCTCTGATGACACATGGTGGATTTGGGTCCATGTTAAATCCCAAGGAATAATAAGACAGTAGCAAATAACAGTGTTCTGCAGGACACCGTCTCGTGAAAACCGTCTACTACTTACTTGCGAAATCACAAGGGCGTACATCAAACCAGATCAAGGCTGATCTAATGGTGTGACAGGGGGCCTTCGTTGGAACTGTTGCATAGGCTTAATTAACGTTTAATAAACAGTCCTAATAATTCCATCAAAAATCAAAAGACCAAACAAATAACACATTAGAGTGGAGTTCTCGTGAGCGCAAAGCTAACCTAGATGAATTTTACTTCCGGTGCAGAGAACCTTTTGCATTGTGGGCAGCAAACAACCCTTAACTCTTCTGGCTGGAGTTTGTCAAACTTGATTCGGCTTAAAATCATTAATGAGCGGTCAGGTCTGTTGAGTCAAAGACCATGTTCGGCAATTTATTCGTCGTTTTTACCTGGTTTATTCGAAAAGTTCGGCAATATTTTTGAGTTGAATCATGCATTTCCCTTCAACATAAGTACCCTGTCCTGGTCGTTCGTTGCTCGACAGAAATTCTTTTAAACTCTTGCGTTTTGATGATACCCAAAGTCTAAATATTTCTTGTCTGTAATAAAATGCCCTATTTTATTTCCTAAAGCTTAATACTACGCCACGCCTCCCAGATATTTGATCAGAAATCGTTGAGTATTCCCCGAATGGCTTAGGACGCTAAAATGTTTTCCAAAGCAGCTTCGGGTATTGTTACGACGCAGAAAAATTGTTCTTACACTTGTTAAAGATGAATAACTAAATGCACACTTTTGCAAATAAATTGACAAAGTAGTCCAAATGCACGTCTCTGCTACAGACAGGCAGCATTCGATGCAAAACACCATACTAGTCCTAGCGTCCCATGAATAATTACATGACTGTGTCTCTTGACGCACAGATGGACTTTAACATGTTCCGGAGACAATTGCGAAATCCCGTGCATGTCGCACAAAACAGTCTTAAACCTGTTTGAGACTTAAGTGTTAAAGCAAGCTATCTTAAATATGCCTGTTACCATTGTGGATGTACTCCTGGAAAGAGTTTTTACTTATGTAGACGTGGCTTTATCTTCAGTTAATTTGCGTTTCTATCGCCTGTTCAATGTGACTTGTTAATTTACAGGATTTTAAACCATCGGCAAATGTAGCCAGACTTACTGAATTAGCTACGCACCAAAGATCGATGGTCATCAATTTCTTTTGTCAACAGGTTCAGGGAAGGTCTGGCGAATAATTCAGCGGATTATGACTCTTCCAACAGGCTGTGTGTCATGAACGCATATATGTGAGGGATAGTCCCTAAGGCACTTAACTGACATTTTGCAAAACTCGACGTTTTGACCACCTTGAGGCATGTTGCCTCCTATCAATTAAATTATCCCAAACAAACACACTGCAGACGAGCTTTCAAGTGCATAAAACTACAACTTACATACATAGGCAAGGTGTGCTCAGATGATGGGACAAACCCAATTGTCTCAGAATGCATGAAACCAAACAGTATCAACAGTATTTTTGTCCCTCGTTGTCTATTTTTGGACTTCGGCTTGATGGACAGTTGGTTTTTTCAATGCCTCTGGCCAAAATAAGACGCCTGCGAATAGGTTATGGTCCTTAAAGAAGATCTTCCTCTCGATCATACCTTCATGCATAAATCTCTCTCTGTTGCGGACTGTTCGTGATCCAGCATATAAAC